TAAATTTAGAGCGATGAAACATTAATCATCAGGAAAAATGTACAGAATCCTCTGGAAATAATTCTAATCAAATACATCATTTTTCCAAGGAAACAGGATGTATCGAAAGTTTCGTTTGAAAAAAGCCACATTTCATATGCACCAACCTAATAGATCCTCGCTCTCCTCAGCACTCGCTCCCCTTGCAAACATTTCGTCCTTGCCTCTCTCTGACTTCCTGCTACTTGCGATTCAATCGTCGTTACCTTTCCGCGTAGTATTCGGTTGGAATTTTGGAAGTAACTCCTGGAAAATTCGACCAACCTTTCGAGACTGTCTCCTCCTCTAAGTTTCGAGACGAACGTATTCCAGAAGAGTGTTGTCCCGGCGAAGAGCAGGGAGAGAAGTGTAAGCTTTCGTTCCTCCGTTCGAGGATCCTTTTTTCCTTCTTTGCCCATCGCGGCGATGCCATCGGGAAACTTGCTCGACCAGCTGCGTTCCGTTGCAATCTGTTTAGACTTCCGAGAAAAGCGATGTTGCTGTTCATCCTGATTGCCTGTTGTCATCGACCAATGACCAAACACGAGTGTACAACCCGAAGGGGGTATTCACCATCTATTCGACGATTTCTTGTCCAAACAGGGCAAGGATTTATCGTTGAGCGCGCTTCGCGTTCAAGGATCTTCCTCTCTACCGCTCACGCCTACTCTCGTGTACGCAAACACGACGGCCACGCGAATAAATTAGCATGCTAGGATTTCGAGGCATCAGGAAAAGCGTTAATCACTGTTTTCTTGCCGGTCTCGTCGACTTTGAACCGTATAATTCGTGATTCTTAATCGTCGAGAACATCTTGATAATAATGAACCGAGAAATTCCTCGAATGGCTGGCTATTTTTAATTATACAGATGTAATCTTGGGTTGTCAGGTAGCTAGGGAGGAGGAGGTTTGAGTGATTGCAATCGAATAACGTTCATTTACCGTGGCTCTAGGTTGTCCTCCTCGGAAGTTCGATCTCTTCTTCTTTTTTTTTTTTTCGTTGGAATTATTTAATGTACAGGTGTTTTTGTTTCGTTATGTAAAATGTTACGGTTGTTTGGTAATAGGGAAGAAAATGTGTAATTAAAGATAAGATACATTTTAGTTTCATTAGTATTATACTCTTCTTGCAATAAAATTTCTTCTTTTTTTCGTTAGAATTATTCAATGAACAGGTGTTTTTGTTTCGTAATGTAGAATGTTATGGTTGTTTTCAATAGGGAAGAAAATGTGTAATTAAAAATGAGATACATTTTAGTTTCATTACTGTTACACTCTTCTTGCAATAAAATTTCTTCTCTTTTTACGTTAGAATTGTCCAGCGAACAGGTGTTTTTGTTTCATTAAGAAGAATGTTATGGTTGTTTGGTAATTCGGAAGAAAGTGTATAATTAAAGATAAGATACATTTTAGTTTCATTAGTATTATACTCTTCTTGCAATAAAATTTCTTCTCTTTTTACGTTAGAATTGTCCAGCGAACAGGTGTTTTTGTTTCATTAAGAAGAACGTTACGGTTGTTTGGTAATTCCCCAAAAATATTTGGACTCCATATACGCTTGCATTTCTAGTGTTATATTTCGTTTAATAATAAAAGAATTGGGTTGATGCTTTTGCATTATGAAACGTCATTTACCGTACTTTAGTATTATGTTTTGTTAATTTAACACATTTTCATATATAACATTGTAACACAAATGAATCGAAATTATGTCCAATTACTGTGTTATACAAATATTCAGGCATTTAACACAAATGAATATTTAAAGTATCCATGATATAACGTTGATATTAATCACATTCGTAATATTTAAAATAGTAATTACGAACCTGCGATGTGTTTAATCGTTGTTTCGTCAGTGTTCAAATATTTTTAGGAGTAATTGTAATTAAAGATAGGATACACTTCGATTCAATTATTATTCTACTTCCCTTAGCTAAAGTGTCCTATTTACCAATTTTTTCATTTTTCTTTTTTTCGTTAGAATTATCCAATGAACAGGTGTTTTCATTTCATTGCAAAAACCTTAAGATTATTTAGTAATTCGAAAAGAAAATATATAATTAAAAATAAGGTACATTTTTATTTTAACTAAAATATCTCATCTACCAATTTTTCGTTCTTCGCATTATTTTAAATATCTGCAACTCCACGTACGTTTCGCTTTTCAAGCAAAATTAGAATATCCTCTGTGCTTTGTAATATTCCACAAACAATCTAATTTATTTATCCCAACTGTTTTACACACACTTCTCCTAGATTTTACCTCATTGTTCAAAAAATACGTTAGTTAGGACAATTAAACTAAGGAGGTCAGTGTATTGTACCCTTTGTGAAAAGAAAATACAATGCCACTCCACTATTATTCCACATTCTATTCTCGTCATTATCGTAACAAATATTCTGCAGATAATCTATCGCGTGTTTCGCCCGAGCAGTGTGTCTGGCATAATTTACAAACTCAGTGAAAGTGCACACGATCAACGAGGCGCTAATCAACGAGAAACCATCCTCCGGCCGGAATGTTTCTCGCTCGAAGACTTAGTTTCTTTGCCGCTGATAGTTTCGCCGCCGTCGATGATAACGCGCAGCGACGGATAAATTCACGGCCACGAGTGTGCGTCAGGAACTGCGTCATGAACGCGATTTTTTAAACTATTCACCCGGCGATTGTTGTTTATATTCGCATTTTTATCGAGACACGAAAAACTCGTTTCGTTTGGAAGTTGAACGACGACGATTTTACGACGAAATCGACGAAAGAATCTTCTTTCATTTCCCTGTTCCGTGTAAATTCCGCACAGAAAACATTTCCTTCTTTTCTTCTTTTTTCTTCTTTTCACTTTCATCTTTGCATTTTAATATTCTCGTCCTTGGGATCGTTCGAGAAGCTTCGAAGGTTCTCTCTGCAAACGTGTCCGTGATGATCTGCGATTACACAAATAACAGAGCACAGATGGTATTTCTAAATAAATAATTACTTCGAATCTTCGTCATTTTGAAGAGGAATAATGACGGGTGTGTGAACGAGCAGCGAAGCTCGTACGCGTATTATACACGAGCGAGCATGCCAATCGATTCGGAGGTCGAGCGTCGACAATGCAAATACACTTTTCTGGACACGTATTTTCTACGTTTATCGACTGGGTTTCCTTCAATCTGACCGTTTTTTGTTCAAGTTTCGAATTAACGCCGGAAGAATCGGAGTTGAATGTGGTATAGTCTTTCTCCCCTGGTTTATTTAGGTATACTATACAGGGTGGATCACGTAAAATAGGCCGCCTAATAATCTTCTTTGGTTATGGCGGTACGACAAAAGTTTTTCAAAGGGTGAATGAGATGGAAGAAAATTTTTTCGAAGTTTCACATTTGATTTAAAATTTTAGAATCCATGGCCATTTTAAGGTCACAACAATGTCTGCTGCAACATTCAGCAGAAGGAAATATATACAATTATGTAAAAAAATACAGGTGACTTTGAGAAAAGCAGAAAAAGTGACATTTCTCAAAAATGAGAAATTTCGCAAAATTCTCTCCACTGTAGCTAGAGAAATAATTATAATTATAATACCATCCCGAGGCGTCTGAAAATATGTAAAATTTGGGACTAAACGGAAAGTATCAATGTTTTTAGAAGATATAAGTGTAACTTTCATCTTCTTTCTCTAACTCGCAAAAATTCAAAATGTTACCAAATAATTCCCAAACTTTTTCTTTCTCTTCTACACGCTTCAAGAGTGATGTATTCCTCTTAAGTGAGCCTCTCAATTACTCCAAGTCAAAAATGGTATTTAACAATCCTCGAGTACCGTAGTGCGAGCTGTTTAATTTCATAATTCACGATCGAGGGAGAAGTAATCGGGGAGACCTGTCGCGGGAGAATCGATAGAGAGTAGCCAGCCGATCTGTGCTTTAATTTCGTAATTGAAAGAATGCGCGAGGCGAAACACGAGCGGGTAAGTTCGAAGAGAAAATTGACAAATAAATCAGCCGTTGTTTCTTGTTGCTCCCTGTATCCACCGGTGTGTTACCTGTAAAATATACAATGAACCGTGTAACAGACAACACGCACACACGGCTACGAAACGTTCTTTTGCGTATTAATAAATGAACACGATCAGATCAATTTCAGTTGGGGCACGATGTCAAAGGCGGAGCTTATTTCGTTCCCGTTTCCACGCGACACACGTTAAATCCTCGTTTAACATTCAATCGTAATTTATTCACTGGGAAATTAGAATGCGTTATAAACGTTGTTGCCACTGTGGCCTTCCACTTTCACAACTTGTTATTTCGACCGGAAATAAAAGCAGATACGGTAGAAGGCTCGATACGCCGAGCGTGGAACGAGAGAACGATTTCGACTTCGTTCCTTCGTTCGAAAAGCAATCCGCTCGGTTCATTGTTCCGTTTCCCCGCAATGGATCCCCTGGTTGCAGCACGCGACAGAGTGAAGCGCATTTCCGGTCGTCGGTGTATCGACAGACACGCTTGTTACGCTCTTCAAATATTTGTTCTGCCTTGCGCGATATATCAGCGGGCGGTTTCGCCCGTTCGATCTTGATTTATGAATCGCGGTTCGCTTTTCGAGTGGTCGCCGCCATCGATTCTCCCTGACATTTTCGAAATTTGTCCAAAAATCGAACGACCACAGTCCTACTCTGAAAGACTTGCCTTTCATGAATTTCGCATCTCTCCTTCTCTCTCCCTCTTTTTTCCTCTGCATTTCTCTCTCCCTTTCTCCCTCCATTTACTTTTCTCTCTTCCCCTTCCTTCTATCTCTCCCTGTTCCCTTTTTCAGAGCGGAGAACAAAAGCTACATACGCTTTTTCCCCTAATTTTCACGAGGACCAGGATCAATTTTTGGGAGTTTCAAAGGACGAAACGAACCCTGAGTTTTATCAATTTTGTGCAGTCTATCGATTTGCATCTCTCAATATTTTCACGTTTCATTTTCCAGATCTAAATTGGTTCGGTGAAAATGAGGGTTGACCAGATCGGACTTCTGCTATGGAAAAATTACACCGTACGGAAACGTCAACCGGTAATTATGCCCCCGTCCTTCTTGAAGAACGACGGTCCTTCGAAGTTACCGGAGGTGTAGAGAATGGTAGCTAAAAGCACGTACGCAAACTTCAATGTTTAGGGCATATTGGCACTGGTATTCGTATGGCCCGTGGTCGTGTTCATGATCCTCTACACGATCCGCGACAACGTGGATCCGAAGTACTATCCAACTTGCCAATTTCCTGCGAGGTCGATGCCGCAGAATGGTCTGCTTCCATTCGTTCAGAGTTTCATTTGCAGCCTCGGGAACCCCTGCGAGCCCCTATCGGAATACGAAGAAGTTCCTTCTTATAGAAATGCCACGTTAGTTCCACCAACTTCCTATACCTTCTCTAATAACTTTTACTTTTACCGTTATTTAGCCGTAATTTCGATTCCTTCACTTGTCATTTCTTTTTCTCTTCTTGTTGACTATGCATGTAAACGTAAGATAATTATCATTCCTACCTTTAACCCCTAACTGGTCATGTGCCGTCTGTGAAACTGCTTCATGTATAAATCTGCTGACATTTATTGAATTTGCTACGCTAAATCTATATTTTGCTATGTTTCTTTTTCTAATGTAAATCTATTAAAAAATAAATGTTTAAGTTCAGTTTCTATTGAGTTTTGAAAAAGATTAAAAATTTCAGTCTCACATGACCCTTTATGCGCGAAGATTTCACGTGACCGGTTAAGGGTTAAAGGAGTATTCCCATTTCGAGACGTAATTTTTACGCGATTTTTAAGATAAGTAATTATCAAGGAACTTGAAATTTTTCATACACGTTTGGTCATGTTTCACGTTTACAATTTGACTATTATCAGTCTTACAAATGAATTTTTATTACTGTCTCTGTCACATCTTCGTCAGAATCTCTGAGTCTGGCTCGTCACAAGGCAAGGAGTCGAACAATGAATTCAAAATTACACTAAGAAACGTGAAAGTAGAACGAATAGAATATGATTTATCACTAACGTCACAGTAGAAACGTATTTCCACGATAGTCTAGGTCCGTTCGTGGTGGATCTGCAGCCTATGCTGAACAACGGAACGATTCTTTCCGCCATCGGCACGCTACCGAACAGCATCCAGCTTCTAAAATCAATGGCGCAGATACTCACCAGACCGGAAATCAAGGCGTTGTTCGGTACGCATGCACGAGCAACTTCTCAACACCTCATTTACTATCGTGGATATTCCTTGAATTTACATCCTTATACATATAGTGTATCGAAATTTGTCGGCTAGATCGAGGTATTCGATTGGGCGATCTGTTCAACAACCACGACGAGATCAAGAATCTTCTCAAGCTTCAGATGCCGTACGCGCGGAATGGATTGATCGACGAACTGTTCAACTCGTCTATAAAATTACTATACGTCAGTATATAATTCCTGTAAAAATCGAAACGACCCGTCTCATTCTCGTGTATCGACCTTTATTCACAGAGATAGACAGAGAAAGAGAGAATTGTTTTCGACATATTTCTTTATTATTCGTTCGTTTTATTTCAGCTCGTCGAAGCGTTTGGCTCGTCTAACATCAACGGGGTGATTTGTTCCCCGGAAAGTTTGAAGAAGTACCTGATTCTACCAAACGATCAAGACTACACAGAAATCTCGAAGATCCTCTGTGACATCGACTCCGAGATGATACCGAACATGCTCGAGAGTTTGTCCAAGCATCTTGATTTCTCCGGCTTGCTCGAAATGGTGGACCGTGTAATGGCCAAGTTCCGCGACTACGATTTCTTCGAGGACTTGAGGAAAGCGGTCGAAACGATCCTGGACCTGCGAACCGTGCAGAAGTATGTTCCGGAGTACTTGAGGATTCGTCAGTGGATGCCGAAGATGATAATGCTCTTCAAGAACGTCACGTTCAAAGAGATCGACCTTACCTTGTGAGTAGTTTTTTCGTTATTAGAGGGACGATTAATCGAGGTACTGAATTTTCCGGGAAAACGAATCCTTATTCAACGAGTAACTCGTATCTGGTCAAGGTGAGTTCATTGGACTCACATGCCTAGTTTTTTGAAAATAGAAGAAGAAACTCCGCTGAATATATTTATAGTCGCTAATGACTTTAAATATTATTGTTATTAGAACTTGAACAATCCAAAATTCCTTCCACGAATTCTTCTATTTCGTGAACTGCATATAGTCCTGTAAGTGAAAAGTGTTAAAAACTTTTCGGAAGCAAAGGGAACGTATTTAACCCTTTCGTTACTATTGGCGCCTACGGGCGTTTTGAAAATTTGTTCGCGCAATACTGTTGGAGCCTTTTGGTGCACTTCCACCGTAATTTAATACATAATTTTATTCTTTACGCACTTCCACCGCACTTGATAAACCGAATTTTAAAATGACACGGCCAAAATAATAAATTCTTTTTCAGTCACCCACGTTACGCGTTAAAATCTGCCGTAGCAGAAGGGTTAAATAATTTTATTACACGAGTAAACAGTAGGAGTTTATCAAACTCTATGAGCTAGTTTTCAAGAAACCTCCTAGCGCACGTATAATTCATTTAGTCCTGAATACAGTCTGATAAATAAATTTTCAAAAAGTTCCGAGTATTTTTGAAAATTTATCCTGAAAACAGAGTATAGACTCCGTCTACGTTACATAAATTAATAAATTATCTAGATAAGAGTTGTTAAAAGAATATTTTGGATTCCGCCTTTCTAGCGTGAACAGATCATTGGAAATCTTGGACCCGGTGTTTTCGAAGGAAAGAGACTGGATAATCGCGCGCAGAGCGTTCCTGAGGATACAAAAATTGCTGGAGCTGGCGAAAGATATGACTAATGATCAAACAACCGAATCTTCCGACGGATTTTTCGCTATGGTGCATCGTCTCACTAACGCGGTGCAATTTATGTCTATCAATATAGTGAACAACGAGAATTTCACTCAAATTCTCGACTTGAGCATCGCAATTTTACACGACGGCGCTAAGTTGACCAAAAAGATCTTGGACGATTACGCGGACGACATTCAACTGTGAGATATTTTCCATTGTTCACAGGTGAACGCTGTTTATGTTACCGATAGGTATTGTTCAAATGTACAAGTTAAAACGTTATTTTCAGACCAGCAGAAATTCTGGACGGGTTGAGGGATTTTTTGTCGCACAATATTCTAGCCACGCTCAGCTACGTTGTGTCCTTCATGCAGTCGATCGTCAATATGGTGCATCACGCGGCCATCATTCACGAGGAAGTCCAATACAGAATCCACGATATTTCCATAAATCACAAGGACACCGTGCAAAAGCTGCTAACGAATGTCGATCCGAATTTCTATCGGACGTTCGTCAGATCGTTCTCTAGATTGAGCTTCGTCGAGGTTAACCATTATTCACATCTGTTTTCTCACACCTCTATTCTACCCTCTTTTTTGAACGTATCGAAAGAAGCAACAAAAAAAGAAAAAGAGAGAGTCAAATTTGTCACGCGTCTTCCGTAGAAATTCGTGGACAAAGTTGAGCGCACGAGACCGGAGGACTTTCTTTGCCAAGAGGAGACGCTGAATGAGGTTTTCGAGCATTTCAAAGACGGCAGAAACGAATCGAGGTACATCAACGAACTACTGTGCAGCGATCCCGGGAAGAAGTTCATCTCGGACGTGTACGAAAGTTTCGAGCTGAGTAACTTCGAAAGCATCGTAAGCATTGCGTTCGCGATTCCTTCGTCCACTGGAATCTCTCTCTCTCTCTCTCTCTCTCTTCGTGTTCTCACGTTTTCGAGATGACTTTGTCAGGTGAGCAACTCGCTGTCCACGATGTTCAGCATGGCGTTCCAGCAAGTGGTTACAATCGAGAAATCTAATCTAACATCTGTCGTGAAGAGTACCAAACAACTGGTGTCCTATTTGCAATCATCCAAGAAACCGGAACCAGACTGGTCTGGCTTTAAATTTAGCGAACGATGGAAAGAAGCGTTCGAGGAGACTAATCCTCAAGGAAGATTGAACATGTGAGTGACGTCGCGTTACATATTTCTTCCTGAGCACACATCTGGTTTTGGGAGAACGCAAGAATTATCGTCTTCTCTCGTCTCTTCAGTTTAGGAATCCATTTGAGCATAGCGAAGATGATCGGTTCTCGTAGTTTATCTTACGTCACTATTAAACCTGATTTGGAGAACATGGACATGCTCGCTGGGATTATTCTGCAGGATTTGCGAGAATTTCCTACCAGCTGGATCGGCGAAGTTAGGCGACAGAAGATGCAGCTGCTACAGTCGTTCTACTTGACTGTAACCGACAAGGATAAGGTTGGTGGACAATCGTGAAATTCTCTTATCAGCTCGTCTGTTGCTTCGGCACGAGGTGAACGCTTCGAGAGAAGGAGTGTCGCGAGACATGCTCGTGAATGTACAGGATGGGCCATGTAAAACAGGCGATTTAATTATCTTCTCTGATTTCAAAGGATAAATAAGATGGACGGATTTAAGGATTTCACGGAGCGGAGCATAATTATTATCGAGGCTTTCAGGTGTAAGCCGTGCCCTTATGTATTTCTTAGAAAAAGTATGCTTACGAAAGGTGAAAATACTTTTTTCATAAGGACACGGCTTACACCCGAAAACCTCGATAATAAGTAAGATGGAATACAAATTTTTTTCTGTTCTTTTCATATTTTACCATTTCTTCCATCTTGTTCACACTTTGAAACAATGTAAATTGCGTACAAAAATTTTCTCTCGTGTCACAAGTGGGAGATCCTTTCCTTTCCTATCGTAGACGAATGTCTTCTCTATTTTACAGGCTCTGAAAATTCTAGAGTACGACAACTTCACGAGAACCTACTGCACGAACCCGAATCCACCGGTTTTATTAAATTTCCCAAAAGGTTCGAACAAAACGGTGTTGAAAGCGCTCGTCTGTCGCCTCTCGAGGTTCGTGCAAACGGAGCTGGAATTAAACATGACGGAGATCGGGCTGAGGGAGGAGGCTCATTACAGAAATAGAGGATCGTTCAATTGGACAGGTTTCAACGTGAAAACGATCGAGATTTATCGTTACATCGATACGTTGGTCTATCAAAAGGACTCGGACTACGATTTGGCTGAATTCGAACGGTTGAAAGACGCGTTTCGACAATCTTGGAGCACCGATCTCGGCGCGAAAGACGTTTTCGAGATGAGGTACGGCAAGGAATAATAATAACGCCCTTTTCATCCCTCTTGAATTCTTCCATCAAACGACAGATATTTACTTCGGTGACACGTTGCATCTTTCTGCAGCGTAGGTTTGATCTGCAAGTTCTTCAATCTGATGGAGAGTCCTCTATTCCGTATGAAAGACGGATGGAAGGCGACGCACGCGATTGGCTGGGCGTCCTCGGTGATCTTCGACAACGTCGAGAGGATCGTCGATCAAATTCAAAGGAACGATCAGGTGGCGAAGCTCTCGCAAGTGCTGCAGGACATGCCTCAGACGGAAATTCTTCTGAGCGCGATCCTGAGAAATATGTCACCTCTGATTCTCGACGTGGTCGACATCGTCACTATGACACCGATCCACCTTGTGAGTTCATCTAATTTAACCGGTCGAATTTCCACCGATGAAAATTTCCAAAATTCTCTCCTCTCTCTCTCTCTCTCTGTCTCTTAGATATCCGTTCTGGATGATTACAAATCGCGGGAAGAACAATGGCCGTGTGTAAGAAACGAGAGCGTCGGTTTCGTCATGGAACTGCGAAACGGCACTCGAGAAATAGTAAGAGAGATCGAGAGGATATCGTGCAATCCAGCTTTGTTTATTCAAGAATGGAAGGAGCAACCGGTGTTAACGAGGGCAAAAAAGATCGTGAGTAACTGAAATGGGGATATTTATTCTTCGTCCCTTTCCACCGGTAACTCAACGAAGCGGATGTTAGTTACAGCACGACTACACCGTTCGACTTCCGCCGTTCAATTGGACTTTGGGTTACGCGAAATTCCGTCGATTGTCTAAGAAGTTCGACTATTTAATCAACGACGCGAAACAAGTTATTCTTGCGGAACAGCCGAATTTCTGGGAGCACTTGGAGTACCTTTTGCCCGAAGTCAAGAGCATATTCGAGGAACGATGGGTGCATACGAAGAACGACGCGAGGTAAATGTGTCGTTGTTACCGATTAATCACCAATCGGAAGTGAATAATCAGGTGTTTCCTTATGTCTGTGATTTAGGCAAACTTTTAGTTACATCGATTTGGAACTGGACAAGACTGTGACGGCTTTTCAGAGCAATCTTTCAGCTAGCGAAGTCTGGAAACCGTCGGTTTCTATCGAAAACCGTATTCTCGTTTTAGCTAAATTTATCTCTCACGCTGTTCACAAATTAACAAAGACTGCAACCGAGATTTTAAGCGAAGGTTAGTGGATTGAAGGATCATTAGAGTTGGTACTATTATTTTTTTTTAACCTTCATACGTTCCTCAGAAATAGTTACGCAAGAGATCCTCGTGTAAGATTTCACCCATTATCGCTCTATATTTTGCTTAACGTTATTAGTAATCTTTTACGCTATGTTTCATTGAAAGTTAGTTAAATTTGTGAATTTCAAATGCACGAAGTTACAACACGTTCAGAAAGAAATCAAACATATGTAGGAACCTAGGGAAAAATATTGAGGGACCCAACGGGAATCGAACCCGGGACCTTCGGCTTAGCAAGCCAAGACTTTGCGCGCTACGCCAACCACCCGCTCTCTATTCTCCCTTGTCGGATTCCTATTTGGGTATGGAAGCCTCGATACTACACATTAGTACAGGACGAGGAGCGTATGAGGGTTAACGAAAGGGATGTAATAATTCGTGTTCTTTGTATTTCTAGCAACCTTGCCAGATCCTTTCGAAAACATCACAAGATTAAGCGTACTCCCTTTGTTAGGATTCGATAAGAGTACGCCTGTTTCAATTTACTACGACAAACTGCCCTACGTTCTGGCCACGATAATTAACGGACTGTCGGATTTCGATATCGATAATCGTATAGTAGAGTCGTTGAATAGTACTGGTGTCACTTGTTCCGAAATGTTCGAATTGTGGTCGGATTCTATTATTGGTCTTAGCGCTGACGAATATAGAATCTTGAAGAATTTCACCTGTGATCTCGATCCTGATAATTTCAACGCTTATACCGATTTGTACATGGCGGAGTCGACTGTTTGGAGGATGCCTGTTGATAAATATCGATCTTACGTGACGACGGCCATGGGTGGTATCTACGATTTCGGTTCTGAAGTTTGGAGACTTGTCAATGACATAAGAAAGCCAGATGTAACGTTTGAGATGCCATTTTCAATGATATATTGGGCATCCAGCTTGCAGAAACTGAGAGATGCTTTCGAAGAGAACGATAAACAGCCTGTTCACAAGGTGGATGAAGTGTTTCGTTAAATAGTCAATTTTTTGACATTTAGTTTTCAGGATTTGTTGATATTTATTGATACTTACTTTTTTTATTTATTCAGGATTTACTAATATTTGCTAGCATTTATTTTTTAAATATTTAATATTCATTTATTCAGGATTTATTAATTTATTATCCCTATTTATTTCCCAGGAATTAAAAGTGACCAACTACAGGCTGTTGATCGAGGGTATCGCCGAAGCATTACCTCACATCGTGAACGCGGTAAAAACTCTCAACACGAAGAACGACGACATCCGCATCTGGGACCTGGTTGAAAGCGGGGACATGCGTCGGTTGTTGAAAATTCTAGACACTCATCCGGAGGAAACGATTGCTTTAGTGGTTTCTCTGTGCACGATGAACAAGACGACAGGTCATTTGATATCGTACGAAGATGTAAGAAAGACCATGTGCGACTTTCAGTTCAACTCAAGCTACTGGTCCACTTCGAATCGAACTCGATTCATCAGGGAGATCTGTTCCTTCGATCCTTCTCAATTATTAAAATCTGTCACCAGCGCGGAGTACTACGTAAGTAGATCCAAATGTAACTCTCATTTTTCACCATTTTAACACCACAAATTTCGATAACAGTTCCTCGTGACCAATCGCGGATCCAAGATGTCGAGCACGACACGTCTAAGTTCCTCCGTGACCAAACTAGTCGACGCGATAATAAATCTTCGAGCGAGGAGAACAGATATCGTCGTCAAATCGAACATCTTCAACGTTACCACTTGGATGAACATGTCGAACGAAACCACCTGGATGATTCGTAACGCGGGCCAAACTTGGGTGCACACGATCGCCGTGAGAAATGAAAATTCGACGAGAACGAGCGCGTTAATAGGTACACCGGATCTGTTCACCAGAATCATTCGAATGTACCAAGTTCTGGACGCCACGGTCGAGTTACTCGCCGGTGGGGACGTCTGGCAGAAACTCCGGATCATCTACGAGAACACGAGGGTGAAACCTATCTTGACTCTGATAGAGGACCTGCCGAATCTCGTTGTCAGCGGTGTTGACACTTTCGTGAAGTCGGAGAGATTGAACGATTTCGTGGAGAAGCTTGCGTTCGGCAGGGTACACCCGTGCGACATCGACAAATATTTAATCGTACCCAGTTTTGTGAGGAAGAAGGTTCTATTGTCGAGCATCACAAACTTCTGCGAGAAGATCGTTCACGCGGAGAAACCGTTCACTACGATCGATATATTGCCAATTGACGCGAAGTACGAGGTACAGTGTTAAACAATTGAGACCATTGTTGGAAAAAGGGTGTATAAGTTTATGTGCCGCTTTTCCTTCAATCGTTTAAATCGTCGACTCGAGTATATAGGGTAATTCCGGGAGAGATGGACCGGCGAGAGAGACGGACCACGCAAGTATTTTCTACGTTATCCGCCAGATATGGAACAGAAAACACCGAGAGCCACGCTTGATCGCTTTCTGTAAAATAAATGCATCTTTCTGTTCCACATATGGCATAATGTAGGAAATACTTGCCTGGTCCATCTCTCCCGGAATTGTCCTAATATATCAAGGACATGTTACTTCTCTTTTGGAATTAATTGTGTAGGGATATAATTTAAGTGGTCGTTGTTTTTTTCTTTGATAGGAATATAGTTTTATTTCTGAACACACGTCATCTTTGACATTCTCTCTTGTAATCTTTTTTTTTTGTTCTTTTTTATCATTATTTTTTGCCTTAGTATGAGTTGCGCTTATTTAATTTCCCAACTTATCCGCCTATGTTGTTATCTACTATGACGTTTTGGATTAATATTAATTAATTGCATAAGTAATATAGAGGAAAGTTTTTAATGTAGGTATATGTAGGTATTTATTTAATGTAGGTATTTTCTCTCTTCGCTCCTGTCTTTCATATTCACTTACACACGGTCATGCTCGATCACTGATTTGTACACGCATTCATACACTCTTGCCACGCGCCGATTTTCGGTCAAGACATCGATCTTATCACGTATGCAGTTTCATTCAGAAGAACTGTCACTCGGTCCAAACACTCCTTATTCACACCTCACACCTGAAACGCTCTTATCTCACGTCCTACAATTGCATTACTTTTTATTACGTAATACGATAATAAAAAGTTTGAAATCGATTTTCTTGAAATGGCACTTTGGCGTACGTGCCCTTTTCCCATCAAAGGCCTCAAATGTTAAGTTCCACTCGCGTCACGAATTCTAAAAACTCACCGAAATTTTTCTTCAAATCCGCAGGAAAATAGGATGTTGAAGCCTAGTGGCTATAACGAGTCTTATCTTCTGGACAGAATGCAGCATACTCAGTCGACGATAATTCGAGTGACGTCAGAAGGCTTCAAGGAGCCCAAAATTCCACCATGGTGGACGTCTTTCAAGGAGGGCACGTTCCAAGCATTTTTGTCCCATTACAAGAAAGAGGCAAGTTTCGGAGTGTTAGGTCAATTTCGTACAAATTATCAACTGTTTGTAAATGATTCTTCAGGATACCAGAGCGTTGGCACATTTGGCGGTGAAAAAAGTCTCGACGACCGTCAAGAACATTCTGAATTCCGCCGAAAATACCGGGTAACTTGCCGTCTCGCTTTAACGTTCACAGAGAATTCGCTTATTCGCTCGACGTCCGTTTATTAGGGAATTTTCTTACAGAGACTGTTCCTGGTGCGTCACGTTACCTCTCGAAATTCTCAACTCTCAGCTGGTGAACCATCAGCTCTACGCGAAGCTCCTCTGCCAGTTGAATCGATTGCACGTCTCGGAGATTCACGATATCTTGATGCGTGATTTTTACTGGAATAAAACTGCCAGCATGGTAGGTAATATCGTTCAACCATCGTTTAACTGTTTGTCGAGTAATGAAATAATTGTTTAGGTCAAGAATTACAAGTATCTGAGCGTGAAACGAACCAGAAACGAATATATATCAACCTTAGAAGGCACCCTGAATTACGTTGTCGATATTATAATGAATTTCCAAAACGAGACTTACAGCGACAGGATGGATAAATGTTTTCACAAATTTGTGGGGGAACCAGCCTACTCCAGACCGGGATTGTAAGCTCTCAAAAGTTATTGAAATTATCTCTATGAATGAATTAATCGTTGGATGAAAAGCGGAGCTGGGTCACATCTGACCCATCATAAGATCAGTTCTTTTCGTCAGAATTTTAGCTAAGTGCATTAAACTACACTAATAGAAATGATCTTGAAGTAGCTTTCATGAATGTAAAAAGTATTTACGTCACACTGTGTCCTGCTCCGTATAATGCAAGTATGATATACAAGATCTCATTTTTTCCGATTTTTGTCAGTATGTTTTATGGGTATAAGTAAGAAAAAAATGATTTGATCGAACGTCCAACGTGACGTTAATGAAGCGAAAGTAAAGCTATCGCAGAAGTCACCACGATCATTTTGTATCAACAATGAAGGGATAGATAAACTGCGTAAAGTTCGTATTTCGATAAAAATTTCAAGAAAAAACTGAGACTTCCTCTGTAACGCTTTTCCGTATTATTATAAATAACCCTGTGTATCCCACGAACCTTTTACACACGCAAATACCACGGGTCACATATGACCCAGCTTCGTCGGTCGATTCTTATCAGAATCTTTCTTATTCTATCGCGATAGTATTCTCAAACTGGGAGAAAATGGCAAATGTCATCACCAATGATGGAAATTATTTCGATATTTAATCCGACTTCACGCCAAAAGTATACACATTGCGCGTGGTCAGTCCTCGGCGTTCGTGTTTACGTCTTATGGCTTCGTCTTCGATTCTTTCCTGCCGCCATATAAAACGAGCGAAAATGTATTTTTGTTAATCACACGGGATTATCGCTGCGAATTTCGAATTTCGATGATACTTTTCCAGCATTTCCTTTATATCCGGCGTTCGTAATGAAAGGGTTAAACAAAAGTTTGATTGCACCCAAAAGTCGGAAAGTATTCATTTCTACACCTAACACTTCTAAGTAAAGAAACTTCCGTTCAAGGTACGTGACGGCGGTGCTAGCTCTCCTAGACTCCTTGCAGCAGAACGTGGTGATCCTGGACACGGCAGCGACTCACAAGAACATCGACGAGTTGTCCGCAATGGCGATGAAGTACGTACCGATCTGGAAGCCGTTGCGCGACCTGGTGAACGCGTCGGATGCCGATGACGTCGAGGCGTTCTTGCCTGGCGCGATGATTAACGTGAACGCGATTCTGAACGACAGAAACGGTTCTCTTTGTCGCACGAAAGTCGAGTGTAGAAACTCGAACGTTCTCTACTCGCATCTCACCTCGAAGAAAGCTGGAAAAGTGTTCCGGTACGATCCGAAGGTGACGAGTTATCGTTCCCTGTTGGAGATCGCCGATCGATTGTCTCGAAGCTTGGACCTGAATCGGATCGAACGTGAGCTGAGGCAATGGCGAATGGAAGCGGCGTGGAATATAACGTGGCTGAAAGAGATCCTGAGGCACTTGTCCGTCGTTATCGAGGAGAGCGGCAATCTGCTCGACGTCGCCAGTAAAATAGACTTCCAGGACGTCTCGAACGTCCTCGGGGTGCCTGATATCGTCGACGGAGTGGTTAATATCCTCAAGGATAAGACGGTGGACAAGCTTTTCGACGGGTAAGAATCGTTCTCGATCGAACAGATGTGATTAAAGTCGTATCACCGCTGGTCCGTCTATACTTCTTCCTTCTTGCTGTTTTAATTCCTTTTTTCTTCTTCTTTTACGTCGTTCGTTCAGAATGATGGAAATAGTGGAGGACGTGAAACCGTTCATCAAGGATCAAGATATACTGGACGATGTTTATCGAATCGTCGTGGCGCTCGAATCGATGGATATCTTCAAGAATTTAGGCCTGCTCGATATGAAATGTACGATTTGACGGCGTGTTTTTCTCGGGGACGAAGATATGTGACGTTCGACCCCGGTGACTCGAGGGTATTTTTATTTTCAGACGTTATCAGAGACATGTTCGACAACTGGGACGTGGTAAGATCGTATTTGGTGGATAAGATCGAAATTTCCAACGACGTCGCGTTGATGCTGAGCCAGGCGAAGATAGACATGATTTCCGTTTTCATGAAAGAAAGAAGAGCTCTCAGTTTGAAGGAAATCATTTGCTCACCGAAGAAGCTCAGCGACATGTTGAATTTCAACAGCGGTAATATCACCGCGCAGGAAGTGAGCGAGGCGGTCTGTCAGCTCGAGGACGCACAGACGCAGAACGTGACGATAACGTTGGTTAAAAATTTAAATTTCGACTATATTTTCAAGACTGTGAGTTGCTTTTTATGATAATGGAAAAATTTTAAAGTCGACGTCGAGAGGGCACGCCACTCTGAGGCTTCTGAAAATATGACAAATTTAAGAATTTTTTTCAGAGGTAAATGGTAAATGAAAATTTTCACTTTTTTTCAGAGGATGTAAATGTAACTTTCATCTTTTTTCTCCAATTCTTGAAAAGTAAAAATGTTACAAAATAGAGGAGTTATTGCGAAACATCTTCTGCTGGAATTCCTCGAAACTCCTCCATTTTGTAACATTTTTACTTTAAAAAATTTCAGAAGATAGCTGAAAGTTGCATTTATATTCTCCGGAAAAATGGAAATTTTTCACGCAGCAGTTATCTATAAAAAAATTTCCTAAACTTTACCTGCGTTTAGATGCCTCAGGGTGCCGTACCCCCTAAAAAATGACGAATTTAACGAAATTCGTTGTTGCAGCTGATGAGCGCGAACGTGAAGAATATCTTAGCGAACGCGAACCTGACAGAGACGGAGGGAAAAATGGTATTGGATAATCTCGGTGTAGCTGCAGAATTGTTGCCGTTCTTCAGGGACAAACTTTCCTCCAGGATGCCATCGGCGGAAGCTTTGGAAGCAGATGCGCAAGAACCGGACAAAACAGTCTCCAGTAAATTATGCAAAATTTTGGAAACGAGATTAGCATAGTTTGCTCGTTCAATAAATATTCAAATGCATTTCACAGCCTCCAAGTTCCTGCAAGATTCCAGCGAGATGCTGTGCGGACAACCGATGGTCTCTGATAACAGCGATCTGTACAGAATCATCTCTAAACTCGAGGATAACAGCAAAGAATTCGACCAGGCTGAACTCGACTCTCTACCATGTACGTGTGTGCGAACAGTTGAGCTTTCAAATTAAACATTTTTACATTTCAAATTTCTCCATTTACGTTGGAAATTCAAATTTTCAAATTTCAATATTTCTCTCTTCCAGCTGACTTTTGCAGAGACACTTACAAAGGAGTGGTCGCGATGGGCGGTGGCAAAATCATCTGGTCCTACGTGAAACCTCTGTTACGCGGTCAAATCCTTTACGCTCCCAACGCCACGATAATTAACAAAGTAATGACACTGGCGAATCGAACGTTCGTGGAGATGGAACATTTCGGCGAATTAATGGACAGTTTCGAGAAAACCCTGTCCTCCCTGGCGAATCTGTCCGAAATGAGCGATAGCCTGAAGGATCTACAGGACATTATGTCTTCGGACGTAATAAAAATCGCGATTAGGTCGTTCAACGGTGGCGATTTCCAAGGTGGTAAGTCGACCTGAGGAAACACACGGATAAATAACAGTATATCTCTAGAGATTACTTCGGTCTCATTTTTTCCGGAAGACAAACACGCGAAGAACGTGCTTTCTCTAAAACAGCCTCTCCCTTCTGTTTCAGGAGATTTCACCGATATGAATCTCAGCGAGATTTCGTGGCGGCTTAAAAGGTCCAAGCGTTTGATCACGATGGTCGGTATGTTGAATGATTTATTGGAGTGCGTGCTCGTGGATCGAATAAGAGGATTTCGCTCCGAGGAGGAAATGGAAGCCGAGGCACGGGTCCTCATGGAGACAAGGGAGTTTTTAGCCGGTGTTGTTTTTTTGGATCAAACCGCCGAGAGGTCTAGAAGGTCCTTGGAGCAGGAGCTGCCTCACAACGTCGTTTACAAAATTCGCATGGACGTCGATTATGTACAATCCACCAAAAGGTTGAAGAATCAATTTTGGATTCCTGGTCCTGAGAGCAGTTTCATCGAACATTTGAGATATCTTAGAGGATTCGTTCAGCTTCAAGATTCCATCGATCGAGCGATAGTGAGAACGAAGAGTCAGAGGGATCAGGATTGGAAGACTATAACGCAACAGATGCCTTATCCTTGTTGGAAGGACGTACCGTAAGTTTCAACGAATCGGTACCATTTCCATGTTTATTCTTCAGAAAATCATAAAAACTCCTGTTTTCATCGAATAGGTTTCAAACAACGCTTTACGAGTCTCAGGGTATTCAAGTTTGTTTCTTCTTCGCGTTGATGATGTGCGTGGGAGCGGCAGTCAGGCACATCGTTTGGGAGAGGGAATCTCAAAACGCGATGGTAATGGAAGAAACGTCGCGTCGTTTCCTAGTTAACGATATCAATTAACAGACGTCGAACGATCATTTCAGGTGATGAGCGTGATGGGATTGAAACCTTGGAGGAACACCATGGCTTGGTTCATCACCACCTTCGTAGAACTCTTGATCGTCATGATCTCGATCGCTCTAGTTCTTCTCGCCGGAAAAATTCTACCGAAATCCGATCCTGCTCTAGTCTTGATCATGATGATCGATTACGCGTTCGCCATCGTAACATTCTGGTAAGTCCGGTCTCCTAGTCGAATTTTACCGAACGTCGACGAATCTATCTCTCGTCTAATAAATCTTACCGGTGAACAAATTTTCAGCTACATGATTTCAACGATGTGCAGCTCAGCAAGCCTGGCCGCGATCACCACAGTGGTTATGTTCTTGCTGACATTCATGCCGTACATCATTGTCATTGCTATGGAGGCCGTTATAGGTCTCGGGTATAAGCTTCTCATCGTAAGTTATCGCCAAACCAACGTTGCAACAGCATTCCCTCGTGACAAATAACGCGTTCGAACGATGCGTTTAGATTAGATACTCGCACCTGTATAAACGGCGTCTTGTGTAGAACGACGTTAACGCGTTTGCATATTCTCCTAGAGCAGATAGAGGAGAATACGGCCGTCGGTACGAATACATCGGCCTTTTTATATAGGAAACGGTATTTGAAAAGAGCAGTCTTAACCGGCATGACTAAAAATCTCGAAGACTCGCACACCCGTACACCACATGCGCCAAGACCATAAAACAGACCCTCGACACCAGTAATCCTACACAGCAATATAACAAATCTAACAACAATTTCTCCACTTCCACACCATCAGACAGACACCTCTCAAGCATCCCGAAAAACCAATCATCACACACTTCCACCACCTACTTCACGTTCGAACCGCCAATGACAACGCACGCGAAGTTAATAAAATAGCGAACATAGACACTCCAGGGTGACACATCAAAAAGAACTCCGACCAGACACATCAGAAATTACACACCGCGAACACATCAGAAATACGGAATAGTACAATTGTTAATAGTTAGAGAAATATATTGTCATTAAACCTCATATCAACATTCACCAATTCATCCTCAATCTAAAAAGCAGCCCTCACGCCATTAATTTGTCGAGCGCATCTCGAAACATTCGCGTTCGGTCGAACAGGCATCGCGTCGCAATTTCGAGTGGACAGAAGATATAGAGAAAGAGAGAATGGAAACGATTTTCACCTGTTGTAATTTGAACCGTTGTCCTCTTTGATGTCTCGCGTATTTAGCGATCAATGAAAACTTTCAGTGTCTCAGCATGTCGACCAGCTTTTGTTACGGTTGCTTGTACGCCGCCAGGAAGGAAGTTCAAGGCGTTGGGCTAACTTGGAGCGCAATGTGGGAGGAATCCAGCCCCGGTGATCCGATGTCCTTGGGTTTAGTGCTTCTAATGATCGCCTTCGACGGTTGCCTTTACGCCATAATTGGTTATCTCGTCGCCAAATACACGAATTCAGGTAGAAACTTTGCTAGATCCAACTCGCTATTCCGCCCGAGAACTCGAGTGAACTGTTAGAATTACTTCGTAGAATCGATCTTTCAATGTCTGGTGGAGGTGTTTCACGAACTTGTAGAGTCTCTCTCTCTCTCTTACTACCATTGTTCTATTCTCTTACGTGTTTTTTTTTTGTTCCCTTTTTTTTTGTTCGTTTGATCGTATTTGAGGGTTTCCTTTTTAATTGTACGATTACTCGAGGATTGATCCAGATTTTTTTAACACAGCATTTTGTTCTCAAGATCGCTGCAACGTGCGTACTTGTGATCTATGGTGCAGGTAATATCACGAATTCATTCAGTGTTCCTATACTGTCTGTGTACCTCTACTCACCGCCATTCTCTTGTCGATGATAAAGTACTAAAAACGCGTGGACGGTGATGTTGACACTTGTGATTCGTGGCACAGATTTTGGTCAAGATGCGACAAAAAGTTCATTCAATTTCAATTTTCGTTTTAACAGTTTTGACTGGGGAGCCAACTTGCCAAAAGCGCCTTCTGTGCGCTCCGTATCAAAGTAACTGACTTTCCTTTTCTATACCTTAGAAAAATAAATTATGTATCAGGTTTAAATTTACGTGTGTCATTTTCGAAGTTCCACGACGAGTTAACTCGTCTTGCGCGCTGGAGAATCATTTTGAGATGACGAGTTAACTCGTCGTCCCCAGTTAAACGGTTAATTTATAAAACTGACGATTTTCAAACGTGATTCATCTGTAATACATTACCTTCTCTTACTTAACACAGTAGTGAAACGATAAATAGCTAAGAGTCAACAGAGTCAACGAAAAAGTCACAGTTTAAAGGACTAAAATTAAATGTACATCGTACGAATGTTTCATTCTTCATCGATATACCGTCCACGTGATCACGACGAAACCACACGAAGAAAAAGAATTCTACACTTTCACATGCACCACACACAAATTTCCCAAAATTTCACCGATTCCTTCCCCACGTAATCTCGCCACTGGTAAGTAGCCACGAAGAGAAACGCCAGAAAAGAAAGAAAAATCACTCTGCACAGAATTAAAGTCTGTGTTGTGCGCGCGTTCCTGAGAGAGAAGTCGATGACCCGGTGTGTTTCTGGAAATGGACGAGCATTGGTCAATAATTTTGCAGGCAGGGGCTTTCACGATTTGAGGTCCCGTAGCTTATGGTGGGCCGACACACGTTCTCTCTATGGCAAGCCGAGCTACCTCGCCTTCGTCAACAACCTCTATTTCACTAACGACGTTCTCCACCCTTCAGCCACTTACCAAGGTATCGCACTCGCTCGCTCCACCTCGCTCTTGCACGATATTTTCGCTTTCTCTCTCTCTCTCTTGCTTCCGGCATTTCTCATGCTCGCTACCTTCTTTTTTTATTCAAGCTTCTGGCTGTGTGTTTCAAATGTTCGGATACACATATATACATATATGTGCAGAGTGCTTGAGAAATAGGTGGCGAAACTTTGGTGTCGTATTCTACCCTCTCTAAGAATGCAAGAGTGTCGTTTAACGAGGCATTCCTCTGTGAACGATGCAAAATTTAGCAGTTTTCGTGAATTTTTTTTCAATTCGTGCGCGCGTTCCTGAGAGAGAAGTCGATGACCCGGTGTGTTTCTGGAAATGGACGAGCATTGGTCAATAATTTTGCAGGCAGGGGCTTTCACGATTTGAGGTCCCGTAGCTTATGGTGGGCCGACACACGTTCTCTCTATGGCAAGCCGAGCTACCTCGCCTTCGTCAACAACCTCTATTTCACTAACGACGTTCTCCACCCTTCAGCCACTTACCAAGGTATCGCACTCGCTCGCTCCACCTCGCTCTTGCACGATATTTTCGCTTTCTCTCTCTCTCTCTCTTGCTTCCGGCATTTCTCATGCTCGCTACCTTCTTTTTTTATTCAAGCTTCTGGCTGTGTGTTTCAAATGTTCGGATACACATATATACATATATGTGCAGAGTGCTTGAGAAATAGGTGGCGAAACTTTGGTGTCGTATTCTACCCTCTCTAAGAATGCAAGAGTGTCGTTTAACGAGGCATTCCTCTGTGAACGATGCAAAATTTAGCAGTTTTCGTGAATTTTTTTTCAACTCATACGTACGTCTATCGTTGTGATTCTTTTGTAGTTCGTTTAGGTAGTTTTTTGTAGTACGTGACAAATTTTTATACAGCTTTAATTAAGCGTTTCTTGTTTTTATTTCACCCGCGATGAACCTGTGTTTAAAAATCGTGTCCTGTTGACGTGGATGATTTGAGATTTCAGGGTGGACCGAAACAAAAATATCGAGAAGATTCTTAATCAGTATGTTACAAACTTTTTCAAAGTGCCACAGAGGAATGCTCCCTTAAGCACAGGCCCGAAAATTCTTCTTTTCTGAAATATGTAGGGTAGGGTATTTTGGGAATGCTTAAAACTTAAAGAAATTGCCAAAAATGATTTTCCCTTCTGTAACAATACACGTATCGCAAGCAATATGACTTGCTCTACTACAGCATTTATTTCTAACGAAAAAAGTGTCGACAGCACTCGTAATTCTGTGAGTGGCACTAATTCGTGTAAAATTTCGAGGTGAAAAAATTGTGTTTATATCTCGAGAAGAAAGAGTTTCCCAACTTCTGTTCATACGAGCTTTTTTACATTCTTAGAAAGAGTAGAACACGATACCAAAATTTGACCACCTATTTCCAAAGCACCCTGTGCACTATTCCAGTGTACCTCTATATAGATCTTCATTTTATTCCTCCGAATTTTTCTATTCCATTCGAAACATTTCTCGCGATACGAATATTCTCGAGGAAAAACCGCTCGATATGTCGCGAGAAAGGAAAATCGCCATCTAATCTGCATAAACGCGATACGCGCCGGAGCCGCGCGTCTATTTCGTAAAATTTTCACGGGAAAGAGCTATTCGAATATTTGGATTGCGCTGAATATGCAAATGTTTTGTTGCTACTTCCGTGAGAATGGGAATCCACGCGGACGCTTAATTTATTCAATGTTGCAGTCCGGATGCATCATGGAGAACTCTATCTGTGTCTGTGTGCTGTTTCGGCTGGAAATTCTTCTTGATAGTTTCGCTAGGTGCACTAGCGCACCTGTTTGCTTGTGTTTCACGCGAATCGTCGACTCGTGCAACGATATCAGAACAATTTTCCCTCCTGCACGCGTTGTATTTGTCTCTCTCCCTTTCGTCTTCTCTCCTCTATGTGAATGATTCCGGTACAACAAACGGTAGACTCTGCCCTCCTATATATTGCATGCGATGCATGAATTGTATATATACACACACATACGTGTATATCTCTTTTCTTCTCTCGCGAAGGATCGTATTCGTCTTTTTCTCTCTTCTTTTTCGTTTCACATAAAAAGATTCCAGGAGAATCGTAAAAAGGAGAAAGAAGAGAAAAAGATAAGAAAATATTATTCTCACGAAGCATCTGCTTTCGCGATACGAATATTTGAAATCCGCTTTTCTCGAGGATTAGATAAAGCTGTACAAAGGGTAAGAGCTTCTGAAACGATTCTCGGTGTCCTGATTAAAAACACTTGTTCCTCTTTCTTCCGTCACACGAAATACACAGACGAGGAAAGCGACACGAGCAGCTTGAGCGTCAGCGAGAAACAATCCGGGGTGAGATTCGAAGAGGTGAGAAAGGTCTACAACACCGATCAGGGTGAAGTCGTCGCCGTGGATAATTTCACGTTGAAACTGTGCGAGGGTGAGGTGACCAGTGTTCTAGGGAGAAACGGAGCCGGGAAAACCACCATCATGTACGTGAATATCCATCCTGGTTTTATCAAAACCGCCGCGTAATAACGGAAGAGACGAATAAGGGGGGAAATTAGCAGGTTCATTTATGTAGATACATATGTAAACGTGGCTCGTTTACCGTCTCCTGAGTTATTCCATTTAACGCGAAAGGGGTTTGCTCGATTTCCATTCGTAAGCGCCGCCGAATATCAGATTCATTCTCGTCTCTCGAGCGTGTGTGTTTGTGTGTGCTTTCGTTTCAGCAAGATGCTGACGGGGATGCTGGCTCCGACCACCGGCGAGATCTGTTTGAACGGCGAGGAGGGCTGCAAGCCTGACATAGGGGTGTGCCCTCAGGATAACGTGCTCATCGGCACTCTCACGCCAAGGGAACACTTGATCTTCTACGCCAAGTTGAAACAGCCTATAGACGACGCGAACATGCAACGAATCGTGAACGAGTACGTCACTGCAAGCGATAAAACAATCCTTCGGTTTTATCGCAAATCCACTTTGCTAATTCTGAAGGAATTCTTCGTTCGCGTTGCGATGGATTGTACAGTGACTCCCGCTGATATTTGGAACAGTATAACCAAACGACTTGAGTCTTTTTGAGAAGTTAGAAGGATTAGGATACTAGGTGACGTGTAGAAAAAAATTGGAAAATCGCGGAGAAAGTTGTAAAGGTCACATTTTACAACTTTTTTGTCTGAGTTTGTAATGAGAATTTAAAACATATTGAAAATTTCATCATAAAGAGTGTCCGAATATTAGCGAGTCACTGTAAGATACATTCTCTAACTTCGACGATTAATTCGTTCGATTGAAAAAGGGCGCATAAAATGCCGTTTCAAGAAAATCCATTTCGAAGTTTTCATCATCGTATTAGTTAACCCTTTGAGGACTCATATATGCGTTCACAAAACACTATTGTGGTGACTGATCCGCCGGCGATCGGGTCCGACACGCGTGAGTGCGAAAAGCGAAGCGTAGAAGAGGCACGCGGGCCCCGGGCCCCGGACAAGAAGGCAGTTGAAGGTAGCGCGCCGAGCTGGCTATGCGACAGAGGGAGTATACATTTTTCCTAACGAATTGATCCCACACAATCGATAACTCAATATTTTCAAGCAATAAAAATAATTACCTGTGCCATAAACTCGCATACCTATATTTAAAAAAAGTACAATTTTGAAATGATTTAGCGCAAAAAAAAGATTGAAATAGTGTCCCAATTATATGCTCTCAAGTAAGTACTATCTCAACATCGTCCTCAACTTTGAAGACTATGTACTCATATATGCGTTCACAAAACACTATGAACACAGTGAATAACTCAATATTTATATTAAGCAATAAAAATAATTACCTGTGCCATAAACTCGCATACCTATATTTAAAAAAAGTACAATTTTGAAATGATTTAGCGCAAAAAAAAGATTGAAATAGTGTCTTAATTACACGTTCCCAAGTAAGTAGTATCTCAACACGGTACATACATAGTCCTTCGTCCTCAAAGGGTTAATAAAAAGTAATGCAATTAAATCAAAAGGAGAAGTAACGCGTCCATGATATATTACATATATACTATATAACACATACCTGAGTCGACTTAAACAATTCAAGGAATTCAAGGGCCTATGCGCCCTTTTTCCATGAATGTCCTGAATTTTAATTAGAACTGCGTGATGATTCTGTTTGTAGGATGCTGACATCATTAGAACTGGGTAGACAAGAGCACGAGCCGGTGTACAGACTCTCCGGAGGTACAAAGAGGCGGCTCTGCGTGGCTTTAGCCTTTCTAGGTTCCCCGAAGCTGGTGATCCTGGATGAGCCGGGCGCAGGAGTGGATCCAGCCGCGAGACGCAGGATCTGGCGTCTAATCGATCAGCACAGGATCGGCAGGACCGTCATTCTGTCGACTCATCACCTAGACGAGGCCGATATGCTGAGTGACACGGTAGTTGTGATGCACAAGGGGAAGATACTTTGCACCGGATCACCGCTGTCTTTGAAAATGATGCACGGACAGGGCTACAGACTTCTCGTTTCGTTTCTTCCCGAGCGCGGTGTCAACGCCGGTGACTCTATCGAGAGGAAAAAATTGGAGACTTTGAAAAGTGTGATAGAGGACGTGGTGCCCAATGCTGTTACCAACGAGATCTCTGGTACCGAGGCGGTTGTCGTGTTACCTTTCCAGGGGCACAATGGTATTAATAACAAGTAGGTTGTAGATAGGTTTTCGAAAATTTGATGACAATAATGACTATATTTAATTTACCAACAATTACCACTTTACCGACCGGTAGCGGTTGAATATCCTACGCACTTTCGACCGCTCACTCGGCCACAGATACATCGCTGACACCGGCTCTGTTTAGATTCTAGGCTATCGCGCGGGAATATACGCGCTTTTTCTTATACCTATAGAAATGTTAAACTTTGACCGATTAGGCTATCGGTCGGTAAGCGTTGGCGGCAAAAAGCCGATTAATTTACCGGTCGGTAAAGTGTTAAGATTTGGTAACGATAACAGTGGCTTTGTAACTTCAATACTTTATTCTCAACTCTTGATAATCTCCGATTCTCGCTTTTTGACTATTTATCAATGACTCTCCACGCGCAAGTCTCATTTATCCTGTTTTATTCTTTCACCCGCTTATTTTGTCTCTCTATTTCTCCAATTTTTTCGCTCCATTGGGACATTCTCAAAACGCAGTCCTCTCAAAGATTTAGGTGCTCAGTTCACCCTGTACTCTTATGCTTCCGTTTCAAACACTTTTCATTCACATCTCTATCGCTCCAGACCACGTATTCTTCGTTCATGCTGCCTATCACTCTGTTAAACATTCACACAAAGATCTTATCACACGTCTATCTCCCTGGTCCATTCGCGGACGTTCTTCAATGATTTGGGTGGTTACGCACTCTTCCTTCATTCACTCCATACTCTCACGCTCTCGTTCCAAACACTTTTCATTCACACCTCTATTGCTCCAGACCAAGTCTATCTCTTTGGTCCAAACACTCTCCATTCAAATCTCTTCAACCCAAACACTCGTTTAGATATATAAAATTCTGATCGATCGTTCTCACACTATTGAACAATAATTATCACAGATCCTGTAAGTTTGATTAAACGAATTGTGTTTCAGTATTGCACACGCAGCGAAGGTTATAGAAGACAATCGTAAACTATTGGGCTACTCGCACTTCTCCTTAGAGTGTGACACCTTGGAAAAGGTATTCCTAGATCTCTGTTCCAGAGCAGAGAACGGATCGTCTATCGTGAGAAGTAGTCAAGACAGTGTTATCACTGTAGACAACGTTGGTACGTAATCGCGAGATAATTGGAGGATACACTGTGTGAGAATTGATTTCGATAATACATGTAGCATTTCAATATTCGACAGGTCTAACGATGCCCAAAGAAAATGTTGATTTGCTAGACGTCGAATCTTCCACGAAACCCTCCACAATTAGGCAGATCAAAGCTCTACTGAAGAAACGTGTATGGCACTTCAGAAAGGACTGGTTGACATTCTCAGCCGGCCTCTTCTTGCCAACGATGTTCGTTGCGGTTGCTATGGGATTCTCTTTGATCAGGCCTCCGTCTGAGGACGAACCAATGCTGACTCTTACTCCGAAATTATACGATACTCATCCGACATATTTCTATAGGTAATTCCAGTCATAATTCACGACGTTCGTACCCTTCTTTTTACAATTCTTTTCCTTTTCATTTCAGCGTCGATAATGGTGACGATCCGTTTTTGCAACACGTGTCCCTGCAACTTCACGATCGATTCGGAGATGACTATGCCGGCGCATGGCAAACACTGCCCAATGTACGACTCTCCTAGGATTTTACAAAAAAAAGAGTGTTTTTTTAAATAAAGATTTTTGTTTTATCAGGACACAGGCACTTGCCAGTGCTTGGATGGTCAACAGGTTTGCCATGGCGTGTCCCAAGCCGTCGAAGGTCTGCTACAAGTTTTACCTGGCAAGCCTACTCTCGATTGGATAGTATCGACCCACCAAGAGTACATAGAAAAAAGGTACACCGAATAGGGAAGAACAATTTCGAGAAAATCTATGAAATTTAATCTATCCATTTTGTGGGGGAAAGAAACGCGACTTACCGGAAGTAGGTTTAAGAATATACCTATATATGAGCCGTTTAATACAAAAGTGGTGCAAGTGAATTTTTTGCCTATTTGATTTAATGCCACACCTCGAAAGCTCAAGCTTTATTCTGCTTTGTGCAGAAGTGATGTGAGTATATCTTCGTTAGTTTCTCCGTGGATGGGAAAATAAGTAAGAACCACACACTCGAATGGTGTAATGGTGTATTGAATAAACTGACTGTACGTATATCTTGATTTTCGGGGCAAAATGGCATTATTAGCTGAAGGTACAACTATATGTATAGTGGCTTACATAAAAGAGATGTAACATTCTTTCAAATTATTCAATTCTACAGAACTTTTACTTTATTCCTCATTATCCAGAATTCAACTTTTTCGACTCACTCCACTTTTGCGTTAAACGGCTCATATATTTAAAAAATGGTCCTAAGTCTAAAACAACAAAAAGATGGCCTCTGACTGCATTCGTACTCAATCGTAACGTAAAAGCGATTGATACTCCAACGTTTGCCTTTTTGACAAAAGACAATCGCACTATCCACACTCACCCTAGGTGTCCCGACCAACCCTCTTCCTCACAAATGACAATATTCCACAGATACGGTGGTTGGTCGTTGTCACACGCCGAAGACGAACCACTTTTCGTCGTCTGGTACAACAATAAAGGTCATCACGCTCTGCCATCCTACTTGAGCGCGTTGAACGAGGCAATTCTGAGGGCTTCCGGTGTTCAAGGTCGCCTAACAGCTCTCAATCATCCCCTGAGACTCTCGAGCGATCAGTTAAATCGAACAACCTTGTAAGCTCAAACATTTTCTAATTTCCCTATTCAAGCAGAAGGAAAAAGAAAAGAGAGAGAATACATTTTCACACCTACCATTATATTTTAATAAACCCAATCCAATTAATGCCAGGCATTAGCATACCGTGCTTGGATCTTACCGCGTCGGCGAAATGCAGCGGAAAATGCGCATAACAAAATCGCTCGTGTTGCGTTTACTTTTAATTAACTCGCGTCGCTCTACGCTTCAACCGGATTTCACGGCTTTCATTATTCGAATCCTATTTCTCTCTGTTAATCGCCTTAACGATTTCCCGCGCTTGTTCTCGCCGCGTTGATTCAATATTAACAATTTCGTTCCCCCGGCCACGTTTCCCTCCTTCGTTCAGATTACAGCATGTGGCGGACGTCGGCGTTGCTCTGGTGCTCTTGATCGCGTTCAACTTGGTGGCTGCTCAGGGCTCCAAGGAATTGGTGAGAGAAAGGCTGTCAGAGGAGAAGAGGATCCTCTTCTTAGCTGGAGTTCAGCCTGTCACCTATTGCGTCACCGTACTAATCTGGGACTTCTTCGTGAGTTGCCGCGATTAAACGGAAATAACGAGAATACAAATTTTGGGTGGAAATTATTTTTAGTTTTCTCGTTTAGGTGTTCGGCTGTTCCATAACTTTGGCTGTGATAGTCTTCGAGATCTTTGGCCTTCCTGCATACGTTGCTAGAGATAATTTACCTGGAATTTGCATCTTACTGTTCCTCTTCGCGTGAGTTTTAATTACGTGGTGTCTTTGAAGGTTTATTTCCTTCTTTTCGTAAATACATTTAACGCGAATAACAGTTATCACAATAGGTGAATTGTTGCAGAAATCTGACCGAAAAATGCCGTCGCGCTTCTTTCATTTGATGTCGAAAAATTTGAAAAATCTTTTTCTCGATATTTTCATCGAATACGACTGTTTGGAAATAACGCGGAACAAAGGGAAAAGGGATCTTTGTTGAATTTTTACAAAAGAATAGACAGATTATAGTGGACATTTCGTGACCCAATGCGGTGGCACTTTTCGATAGCATTCAAACGATTAAATTAATGCTGATGATCTAACGCGATATAAAAGTTCAACGACGACTCTTCACGAGAACACGACGAACTTTACACGACGACGACAACAACCTTTTCAACTCCCCTTTTCACTCGCCACCCTCTCTATTTATACCTAGTTTTTCCTTCCACTCCTTCGCTTTCTCCCACTATACACACAACTTTCACACTCACTCGTCGCCCTCAGAACACACACCCATTTTCGGTTTCACCCGAAGTGACTGACGCGTCGCGACACCTCGTGAAAGGGTGTAGTTCGCCTCTCGAGCTCTGCCTTTTCTCCCCCTTGCCTCTTACGGCTGCTCAGCACACTACAATTACAGCCAATTTACCGTTCTTTAAATTTTGATCCTCACAGGTGGGCAGCGCTACCATTCTGTCACCTGACAGAAAAAATCTTCGACGACTCGAGCATGTCCAACATGGTCCTCTTCTGCGTGAACACCTTCATAGGTGTAGCTTCTCTAGCCACCATCTTGGTACTCGACGTCCTCGGCAAAACAAAAACTGCAGAAGCCGCGAGGAACGTGTTGCACAATATTCTATTGATCTTTCCACAATACGCCTTGGGCGATGCACTCGTACAAATATCACGAAACGACATCACAGCCGAATTACTAGAAAAATTCCACATGGACACGTATCAATCGCCTCTAGGCTGGGATCTTCTCGGTCTCCATTACGTTTATCTCGCTATAGTCGGTGCTCTTCTATTCTCGATTAATCTAACGATCGAATGTCGAGTTCTGCCCAATTGGAACAGACAGAGGTGTCCCTACGAGACGATACAGGAAGACGACGACGTGTCGAAGGAACGAATGAGGATCGAAGGTGGAATGTCCGACGACATTCTCCAAACGGTGAAGCTACGCAAAGAGTTCAGAAGCGTTTACGGTACGAACGTTGCTCTTCAAAATTTAAGCATAGGTGTGCAAGCTGGAAAGTGTTTCGGTCTTCTGGGGACGAACGGGGCTGGAAAAAGCACCACGTTCCGTATGTTGACTACGGAGGTCATACCGACAGCAGGCAGGATCATTCTACGCGGCAAGAAGATCGGTTCAGGACCATTGTGCAACGGAGAAGTCGGTTATTGCCCTCAGAGCGACGCTCTAGACGGTTTCTTGACTCCGCATCAGTGTCTGACGATTCACGGGGAAGTTTGCGGGCTGAGTAACGTTCCCAAGGTGAGATTTGATTTACGTCCAAACTTCCATCTCGGCGTCCTTCCTCCAGTTTTCCCGCAGAACATTCGAATTACTTTCCTTCACCCTGGATTACGCTTCTAATTGTTTCTCTGCGAACAGTTGGAAATTATTCGCACTTTTCTCCCCTGTTCTTTTCGCTGGAACGAGTATCTCGTACGCACAGTACGAAGGAGAGCTTCTTTCTTCCACCAAGATACAAGCCACTGTTCGTTCCCGAGAATTTAATATTAGCCCGAGTGAAAAATTGTTTGTTTGTTTCAGGCGGTCGAGTCGACGTTGAAGAGACTCGATCTTCTGAAACACGCGCACAAGAGGGTGAGCAATCTCAGCGGGGGTAATAGAAGGAAGCTATGCACTGCCTTGAGCGTAATGGCGCCGGTGCCTGTGGTACTCATGGACGAGCCGACGAGGTATTTTCCGTAAAACGGTTTATTAAGAGGGGGCCCGTTTTACTTAAACGCGCAATTTACATTTTTCCCCAACCATTTCTCTTACGTTGCACAGCGGCATGGATCCAGCCACGAAGGATCTCGTCGCGAAGACGATCAGACGAATGACGAAGAATCAAACTTGCGTCATTTTGACGTCGCACAGCGTCGCGGAATGTGAAAATCTGTGCAACAAAGTTGGTATCCTCGCTAAAGCTGGCCTCAGGTGTATCGGTACTCCGCAGCATTTAAAGCACAAGTGAGTATTTCGAAATTTTCGCCAAACGATCGATGAAACGACACGTTGTCCATTCTCTCTCTGTATATACGTAATGTACGCGTATCGGAATTGAAAAAATCCCATTCGACATTAATATACTATTAACGGTGGCAACAAAACGTTCAATTATTCCGGACGAATATGCGGGCCCCAATATCCGGACAGGATTAATTTCAACCGGTCCATTTTAATGATGTTGTTTCAACTGATGGATCGTTCGTGTCGGTTTTGATCTCTCGAATGGTTTTCTGACAAAATTCGTAACGCGACAATTTATTTGCCAGGCTTGCCGAACGTCCCCAACGCGAACCCACCGCCGTCGCCTCCCCCCGTATCACGCCTGTCGTCGATTGATTTTTAATTTCGTCCATCATTTTCCACGCGACGCTTCGATTCCCTGATGCCGCTGGGGAATTGCATCCAGATTTCAGTTGCACTCGTCGAAACGGGATTACCTTTTCGGTTACAGCTACTACCCAGCCCGTCATATTACCACCATTTCACCACCCCATTCCACACTCTGTTCTCTCTCCCCTGACTGGTTGTAATGCTCAGCCGTTTAACTTCCCTTTTTTTCTCTTTTTTTTCTTTTTTACCGAAATATAACAGAGAGACACCGTAAATATTTAGCTGCCGGTGCACCTTTCTCACCTGTGGTAGTAACACAGAGGTAAAATGTCCCAATTTTCCACGTTTCTCTCGTCGCCATTGAACATGAGCGAATTTACGATATCGCGCTAGCACGTGTGCACACCATAGGCGTGCTCTAACCCACTGTGTGTGCCTTCTATGTATTCCATCTACATTTCTCGAAGCACGTCGTACGAGCAAGAAACGAAAATGTCCCAGGTGGATTTTTTTCGTCGTTCGCATAAATAGGGAGAAATACAGCCGAGTTCTCTGTATGAAATACTGTAAGCAATATGTAGTTACCAGAGAAGATTGTGAAGTTCTTTTATACTTTTATACTGGTTTCTTGCGTGTTGGAAAGTTTGTTCTGTGACAGTTGGCTTAATGCTTTGTCGTTTAACGCGTTGACTGTCGCGACGGATTTATTATATGCTGCTCTCAGGGGGTTGCGAGAGATTCTAAGCGCAATATTATATTATACTTATTACGCTTCATTATTACTTTTTTCATTAAAAATATTGTCCAGTTAGGTATGACGTTGAAAATTTTTTAGTTGACGATGTTCGTTTTATTTGAATTATTTTAAACATTTGAGGCACCGATGACCACCGTGGCCCCATCCAGGAAACAATTTCTGGTCACAGGTGACGAACGTGTTAACACGTTTTCTGCCATCTGAAAATCGAAACGGGGAATTCTGCGTGACACTGATTCGTAGTTCGAGATAGACATAAGTACACAACTATTGTTTGCCGCCCTTTCGAGCATTTAGAGTACCCAGGCTTGCGTCTGTACCTCCATTCAGCAAGGGTATCTACTCTCTAACCAAACCACAGCTGCTAGAACAAGCTCGTCGAATTATACGAGGACACCCAAGAGGGACTTGAACCCTAATTGACGTAAGGATCTTTTCTCTTGGGTTTCGATTTTTAGAAATTTAACAATGAAATAGACATACACAGACACACGTAGTCTCTATGACACGGAATCAGTTAACTCTCGTGCTGTCGTCGACAATGCGTCGACAGTTCATTTCGATTCCTAGGGGTTAGCAGTGGTAATACTAACCTCTGTACGAAATTTCACCCCACATACACAGACACACGGAATTAATTAACTCTCGTGCTATCGTCGACAATGCGTCGACAGTTTATTTCGATTCCTAGGGATTAGCAGTGGTAATACTAACCTCTGTACGAAATTTCAGCCCACATACACAGACACACGGAATCACTTAACTCTCGTGCTATCGTCGACAGTGCGTCGACAGTACATCAATCAGTCACCGCCTCGATATTAAAATTCGATCTCCGTGTGATCGACGACTATCACCGCGAAAATCCTCGTGAAAATCGCGTCCAAAGGACATCACAAAAATCACGTCTCCCTGAGAGTTACGAGTAGGTAGCACACGTCCTTTACGATTTTCCACCGACGCTGAATATGTTAATAAAGCGACGAAGAGTAGAAGAGTGGAAACCGATTTCGCCCATTTTCATTCGAATCCTTCGAACGTCTTCGCTACTCTCTTCAATTCTCTCTCGCTGTCTGATCGCGTAAATTTACGAAGGAGTAGCTGCCATGCAGGCTGCCCATTCCCACGGCATAATTTATCGACGCTGATACACGTATACCTGTGTGTAAATGAATACGAATAGATGGATCTGTCGTTGAGCGCGTAGAACGCGATAAATATTACTTACCTTCCCCCCTTTTGCCCAGCCATTTTCATTTCACCCCGCATTTCTTTCCCTTTATTAATCTCCAAGACGGCGTATTCATGCACGAATGCGTTTCTAACGTTTCGAGGAATTCTGATCGATGTCCTGGTGGAGAAATGTCCAACCCTCGGGGTAACAATAGCCGTTATTCGTTCGAATTTTCTTCGACAGGTTCGGCGAAGGTTACGTAGCGTTCTTGAGATTCCGACAGCCTGTATCGTCCGCGGATCTGAGGAAAGCGATAGTAAAGTACATCCCACAGGCTGTGGTCTCCTCTAGACAGGCCAGCGCGGCTCGTCTACTGATGCCACGAAGCCAGGACATGCCGGTGAGCAGCAGCTTTAATAAGCTGAAGCTGTTGGCAGACGAGCTGAAAGCCACCGACTACACGCTCACGCAAAGTTCTCTGGATCAGGTACGTATCGTAAATCCCTTTGCTACGAGAATCATATTTTACCGCGTAATTTCTATTCAAACTCAAAGGGACATCTTCAACGTGTTACATTTTACCCGGTGTTATTCGTGTTATTCTGAATTTTTCATTTGATATCGTTCTTTGTTAACGCTGGAAGGAACGACTGGGTCAAAAATGACCCGTTGGCAAGTTTTTAGGAAAAGTGAATTTTCGATACTGGTAAGTGTTATCGTTTGTAACTTTTCAATTTTAGTTTCTGTATGTACAGCTTACTCCCATTAATATTCGGTAAGTAATGTCGCTTCTTGTCTGGGTTCGATGTTCGTACACGTCAAAAATGTATTTTTTACATTTGGTGAATTCACGCAGAGCACTTTTTCATTGGTCCATACAACGTTACCGATTGATTAGATTTGAGAAAGAAAAATAGGAGGAATTGAACAGTACCGCATCTACCATTTTGACTTTTTAACGCTAGAACTACCGACCGGGTCAAAAATGACCCATTAGCAATTTTCCAAAAAGAGTGTACGTTCGATACTGCATATACAGTCACTCCTATTAACGTTTGGACACTCTTTAGAACAGTATAACTTCTAAAAGAAACTCAAGCCGTTTGGTCCAATTTCAGAAAAGTTATACCGTTCTAAAGAGTGTCTGAACATTAATAAGAGTAACTGTATAATTCTATTTGTATCGCTATCATTCTAATTTTTCAAACAAGTTTTAGTTACTCAAAAATTCACTTGTGGAATATCGCTAACGGGTCATTTTTGACCCGGTCGTTCGTTCTTCTTACAAGGAGAGGTCCCGAGGTGTAACTCTCAGATTTTCACGATCTTTGGCACAATGATAGAGCTTGAAAAACTGAAGCCACTGATACCCGGTTTGGGAGGCAGACGGTTAATAGTTTACGAGATATTTAATATTAAAGCTTTTTACCTGTATTTATCTTCTAAGGTGTAGGTATGTATTACGAGAAGCGGTCGTGGTGGGGTTGGTGAGACGTCTGGCTGGCGGCAGAATGTCCTTTTTTGTCGTGGGTTCGAGACGTAAAACACTTTAATGTTAAATATCTCGTAAACTATTGACCGTCTGCCCTCAAAGTGGCTTCAGTTTTTCAAGCTCTATCATTGTGCCAAAGATCGTTAAAATCTGAGAGTTACTCCTCGGGACCTTTCCTTGTTTGTGTTAGGCTGATCCTAGAACAGCTAAACCCCTCAGAATGACTTTAAACGACAGAAATTATCAAGATACATTTGTCCAATATATGCTGACTTTTATATACGTCAATTTTCCACTAATAATTCCAATTTCGAAGTTCTTCACACGGTATACCCAAACAAACCACAAAGTTATATAAAAATTCGCTTCTGCGATGTCGCTAATGTGTCACTTCGACCCAGCTGGTCGTTCTGGTGTTAAAAATATCACAAAATTTCGACGAATACCATCGAAAGAGGACCGGTACAGCCGTCGAACGTGTTAACGAAATATTAATACAACACCGGTGGAGAATTGACAAGTACACGTAACAATTCACCAAACTGGCTGCTGCAAATCGAAGGGGAATCGATGAAGTTCTGGCTGACCGTTTCGTGCAATATACAATGGTCTTGTCTCGAGCAGATGATGCACAGCCATTGCACGCTGCCATCGAGGCCCGTTCGACCAAGGACGATCCTCGTTTACGTCCCACCTAGCCTGAGGAATATTAATGGATCCATCGTCTTACGGTCCCTCACACTTGCGTACAGTTTCTCTCCGCCGTGTTCGAACAACGTTTCGCTTCGAGCCTTACGATCCTCCGAGTATCACCGTCTGCTACACTAAGCTCGCCTAAATGCTTTCTGATTCGACCTTCCTTCCAATCCAGAATACTCTCTCACCCACTCCTTACATCCTCTCTCTACGATCCAGCCGCGAAATTCTTCTAATTAATAACGCTCGCGTGTCGGGAACAATGTAACTCATCGCGGACGTATTTTCCGCAGGCATTTTAGTCGTACTGGTAGCTCGCCCAGTCAATTATCGAATACAACAACGTATAAATTATGTTCAAGCGAGTTTGTTCAAGCTGTGTGCACATTATTTTCGTTTTTACCGCGTTTCTGGAGGCAAAGGGTCCGCAGAGCGTTTAGAAGGTAAAAACGCCTTGGAATATCCCGGAGATCGACCGGAAAGGGTTAATTCGCGGCGTAAACGAAGCGACTTTCGACAAATCGATCTGTGATGCCCGGTTTGCTCCAATTCTTCGAAACTAGGAGCGGATTAAAACGCTTAGGGACCGTCGTTGCGTGAAACAGAACTTTATTTGACAGAGATTTTTGATGATACGTGACGTGCGCGTGGTAGAATGGAGAACGAACGCGGAAATGGAGAAAATAGGGCTATTTAAGGGTCCTGGGAAGATGGACTTTGGGTTGTGACTATGCAGGAGAGTTGGAAGGTGAAGAGTAACGATGAAAGTGGGTGACTCGTTGTGAATACAGATAAAACTAAGGACTAAGAAGGAAAATATTTCACCGAAAGAATTTCGATGCAACGATAGCACGTTTTTTCTACTGTCGAGGCGAAGTCTCACAAATATCTCGTAAACTGTTAACCCTTTGCACCCGGAGATCATTTTGCTGTAGGAAAGGTTGCAATTGGATCTTCTTTGAAATTCTTCGAAACTAACGTAGAAATAAGCTGCGCTATTTCATTTAAATATTCAACGTATTCTCTATTTCACTATGGTGAACTTTATGGAAGCTCGTAGCTCTGCTCTCTGTCTTGATTAATTATTTACCAAGTGACAGTTAATGTCTCTTCCCAGTCGCCACTCGATTGCAAAGGGTTAACCGGCTGCACCCAAAACCGGGTATCAGTAGTTTCAGTTTTTCAAACTCTATCATTGTGCCGAAGCTCGTTAAAATCTGAGAGTTACACCTTGGGACCATTCCTTGTCAGAGACTCCGCTGATTCTGTCTCTTTTGTTTTTGCCCATTCTATTTAACCCTTTGGACTCCTTTGTCGAGCGTGACTCGACGTCAGTTTTACTCACAGGTATTAATGAAGTAATTTTTAAATTGCCGGTTTAAATATGTATTATATTTTGCAATTTCTTTTTTACCTGCATGAGCGACAGGTACGCGTAATTATGACCCTTAATGCTATTTTCAATATACAGTGGATTCTGGTTAATTGGGACCGCCGTTTATTTGGGACAGATACTGAAGAACGGAATATAAATACGTGTTTATTTACTTATTTTTCATTACTTATTGTTAGCTTTCTTTGCATGCTTAAACACACGTTTGTATTCAACACCGAATATTACATATGTTTTTCAATAAACCGTTTTTGGCTGTATTTTTTACGTTGTTCAGATTTTGCCTGCTGAAATTCGCTTTTTTGGGACAAATTAGTCCGGTCCCAATGTGTCCCAATTAACCGAAATCCACTGTAATTAGTTAAAAAACTTGTTTAATTTCGTTCCTATCAACCAAATGTCTTTTCTTAAATGAAATTCTTAAAATAATAGGGAGTTATTGAGAAGAAAAGTAAAAAAAGATTTGGAGTTCAAAGGGTTAAACTCAACATTACTGTATTAAAATGAAATTACTACAACCAACCACTCTATTCTACAATGTTCATCAGGAAACTGTGTAATAAAGGTGAATCGGTATGAAAAGTCGTCAGAAATGTTCTACATTTATAAACTAACCAGAAGTTCAGGAGTTTCCTAGACTCCGTATCAGTCATCAAGTCCCAAAAATGGTGTCTCGAGAATAGAGGGTTAACCCACGCTCACTTTTCTCCCATCTAACGGAGGAATTTTTCATTCGAAACGCCCGACGAATAACCTCGAGAGACATAGCAAGCGAGTAATTGTCGCTTCTTCTCTGATCGATCGCTGCTTCGTAACCCATTTCAGCGAGCGTGAAAGGCGACGTTTAACGTCCTTCGACGCGAATTTGCACGCGCGGTCTCGTCACGCGATTGTCTCTCCTCCATTTTCCGCGAGATTACGCAAGCTGCGTCGCGACGATGACGGCGTGACCGCGTGAAATGCAATTAGAGTGTCCGGTAATAAGCGTGCCACTTGGAAAGAGGTGGGAAAAAGGGAGAAGAGAGAAATTTGCATTTCCTCTTCTTTCTCTGCCGCCAGTGAGCACAGTCAGTCTTCTGTACTCGCATGTGTCTGTGTCGAATTTCGTCGGCTGTGATTTCACGCGAGTCTCTCCCTCGCGGATTCACGCAAGGCTCAGCGAATTTGCACGAGCCTCGTTAATAAAGGAAGAGCAATTTGAACGCTAATTAAAAAAGTTACACCTCGCGACGACGCGCGAGGCGACGCCACCGTGATTAACACCGTTTAAGAATTTATTATTCTTCGCTGTTCAGGACAAACTATTATGCGTGAAGTTTCGGAAAACTCGTAAACCGTTTTACCTGGCTGTGGTAGAATTTTTAATACGGTACATTTATTTGTGGTTTCGTTTAAGGGTGCACCGCCCTCAGGCGTGTAAAAAGAGGTGAACTTTGGGAATTTTTTTCAGAGGACAGTGATCGTTGAAAAGTTTCAATTTTGTCAGAGGATACGAATGTAACTTTCAGACTTTTCCTCCTATTTTTGAAAAGTAAACATGCTGCTAAATGGAGGAGTTATTGAAAAATCTCTTGTGGTGGAACATCGATTGCTGGCCGCCATCGCTGGCTAGGATTGGAAGGTTTTAAATAAAAAGTTCTGTTTCATTCATAAGTGAAAATGTGTTATCCGCAGTGTAGGGCAGGATTTTTCAAAAATTGTAATTGTTATGGAAAGGGTATGGAATATTTAAAATATCGAGAAAATCGTACGCTATACTGTAAATAATACATTTTTATTTATAAATCAAAGAGAATTTTTTATCTCAAAAATTCCAATCCCTGCCGACGATGGAGGCCAGCAATTGATGTTCCATCCTAAAATGTTCCGCAATAACTCCTCCATTTTGTAACGTTCTTACTTTCAAAAAATTCGAGAAGAAAGTCCAAATTTACATTTACATCCTCCAAAAAAAATTGAAACGTTCCCTTTGGTAATTACCTACGAAAAAAATTCCCAAAGTTTTCCCTATTTTCAGACGCCTCAGGGTGGTGCGTCCCTTTAAACGGAGCAGACAATCTTCCCCGAGTTTCGTGGACTCGAATCTGTGAGGTAATAGGATTTACTTCTTCCTTTTTTTTTCTCGCGCACCGTTCAAAATGAACCGCGTGACGCTTAAATAATTCATAGACGGACGATTACCAGGCTGGCGTCGAAATAAGTGTAAGATTCCGCGGCTCTGGCTTCGTTCAATGGAATCACGTTCGCATCGTTTGTTCGCGTCTAGCCCGCTCACAGCGTCCCGTCTTCTTAATGGAGATAAGATTCCAAGGACCGTCTATATACGCGGCTGTCATGGGATTTGTTGATCCAGTTATGTTTACCCGTACACAAAGCTCATCCCTGGAGATTAACTCGGCTTAGAGACTGCTCCTTCTTAGTCTGAGCCACGCCTCCCTCCCTCGAACCCCCAAACTCGCCCTTAATAACCAATTTCAAACACCTTCCGGGTTAATTAATCGCCAGCGATTTAGCTGAATACTCCAACTGCTTCGTTTCTTCCGTAACTTTTTTGTCTGAATCGTTGCAATTTACAGTTACTACTTTCTCTTTATTTTTTTTATACTTTTCGTTGCTGCTGTTGTGTTTTCGACACTTTGAAAATTTGCATTTGCTTGGACTGTACTTTTCGAACATTTCCGCACACTTCCATCTTTATTTAGTAATACAAACGAAGGATAATAAAAATGCACGTTACAGGGTTAAGCTATGTACCCACACGGTAGTCCAGCGAAGTGTTTATTAATGTAAGTGTTTTAGCTCCGGAGGTTCGTACTAGATTGACCTCCTGTCGCCTCGCCTTTTTCCAACTAACTTTTTGTCGCCTTGTTAGCTTTCTTGTAATTTCCTTACAAGTCGCGCGGCTTTTTCCGGGACCGCGGTGCGACTTGGCGGCGGGGTGTACTCCACGTTGGAGATTTGCCAACACAGCGGAATTTCCTCCAGGTCAGGTACGCGTAACGTGTCCGGTCGGGGCCTCTGGGCCTCGTACGGCGGACCTTTCGGAAACCCTTGGTTTATGACGCGGCAATTTACTATTGAGGCCGCCGAAGAAAGTTTCTACGCCGACATGCATTGCCGGATTTCTAGAAATTGAATAAACTAAAACGGTTTCCTCAAAAATAGCATTTCAAGCCATAAACCGTGCTGGTCGTCTGCACGCCAAATGTTATTTCTCCGGGTACTGCAGCTGGTCGCTACACAAATTTTATTATAAATTTGCAAAGCAAAAGATTTTGCGGTCGAGGATTGAAAGGGTTAAGGTCTTTGTTGCGTGATAACAGTAAAATAGAATACGTGGTAATTTGTATATAAACAAGGGAGTTCGGTGAGTTTTGTATAGTAAACACTCAAAGACATCGTGCGATACTTTACGTGTTTCGATTAGGATTATACCGAAGATAAGATATCGAAGTTTCAGGTCCTTATCTCCTCAATTTTTACATCTAATCGATCTTACGACTTCGTTACGTTTCTTCCACTGACTATAGGTATACATTTCACAGCACATGGGGATATTCACGATCATCGTGTTACGTATGTTATTAAAAATGATATTAATTCATTTTCAAATAGCACACACGTCACTTTACGCACATTCTTCTTCTGCTAAACAACGTCACTGTCCAATCGATCGTAAAGATTATGGCTTCTCGCTTTCACGGACCTCTCATTCGATCTCGAATCTCTCGCTCGGTGGGTGATTTCAAATAAAGAAGAAGGGATAGCGAGTTGCTTATTACGAGTCAGACAGTAGTTGCTTATTACGGATCAACACCGTATACCTCACTCTATTGCTTCCACTCACTCTATACCTCGTAACGAGAAAGTCTAAGTTTTGGCCGAAAACTGCCCAAACGTTAAAAAAGGTGTCTTTAACATCCGGTAACAAAGTGTCAGACTCTATTGCTTCCACTCACTCTATACCTCGTAACGAGAAAGTCTAAGTTTTGGCCGAAAACTGGCCAAACGTCAAAAAAGGTGTCTTTAACATCCGGTAACGAAGTGTCAGAAAATACTCCGACTCAGCGTAGGGTGGGCGTAAAATTCACTAACCGTATCTACGTTTTCCGCAACAATATATTTTACTCAGAATCTGTGTCTACGTTAATCGGACGTCGTTTGCAAAAGTGTACATTGAAGGTCTCGGGAAGAGTGTGGACGCGTCGCCCTGCCGATCCCTGTCCACCCCTACGCGAACAGGCCCAGGTAGAGACCCAAAAGGGCGGAGTCATCCCCACCGAGCGCGCTGGGCGGGGCTTCAAGATGCCCGCTTCACCGTCTTCGGGACGGATTTTCTCACGGAAGATCAAGAGTAAAACTCCTTACATTATTTTACGACCACTCTATGTCTCTTCCATCGGCTATACGCATTTCACAGGAGAGAAGAGCTTTAAATTTGGCTGTCTAACGCGTTAAGCATGAAAGGAATAACGAAAGCAAAGGTGTAAGTCCCAAATCTATTCGTGGTTGCGTTCTTAGAGCTACGTTATCGACGAGATGGCCGAGATAAACGCGTTCCACGATGGACGGTAGATAATTAAAGGAAAATAGAAGGGGGAAGGGAGGAACGTGGCCCCTCTCGAAGTTGATCGCGCGAAAACAAAGAACGATTTAACCGTGGCAACGCGGGAATATTAATTAAGCGGCGAACGATACGGCTGGTCGAATAATAATTCGGTATCGTCGGGGAAATTATGAAAACAGCTGAATAATCTCGAGGCCGTGTATTATTCTCCAGAGTTGTTCTGCGTGGACGGTCCGTTATTTATTCGCGTATTGTTGGTCCGTTCCTGAACCATTCCCGGAACACCGTTTAGCCCGTCGTTACGCTGATCGAACTTAGGAATATTAGAGAATTTATGGAAAGCTTGAATCAACATCGAGCAAGACGAGAAATATCCAAAATCAACCGTCGAAATAATTCTACCTGTTGTTTTGTAAGCTAAGACCGCCGAGATTGTCGAAATCACACGGTTCGATCTCCGCACGACGGGGGATTCAGATTCTACGTAGAGATAGATCTATGTAAATTTTTACAATCTCCAAAACGTGCACGGGTTCTCCTCTTTCTTCCGGCGATTTTTCTCTGCCATCCGCGTTCGCTGTGTCGGGCGTCGCCGAAATGAAATCCACCGACAAAGGGACGAAATTGAAAGGGAATCCCTTTTTCGGGGGACGGCGAGAATCGAACGTATCCTAGAGTAGAAGGTAAATTCATTCTGGTATAGTAAAAGGAGGTGTAAGGGAGGGACGAGGAGTCGTGATCAAAGGCGATCGAACGGGAGTGAATTTAATTGCTGGCGACGCGGAAAGTAAGCGTCGAGTGTGTTTATCGCGTTCCGAGGATTCGGGGCCGCGATCGTTTCGACAGAGCGGAGCACGACGGCCGCATAATTTAGTTGGCGAAATTGTATCGTTGCCAAAGGCGTTTGCGAAACAGCGGGATTTGCGAGCGCCCTTTAATACACTGTCTTCGGGAACTAAGTGAATTAAGCTCGTAACTTGCTGCGTCGAGACCGTTCCGATGTTCTGGAGACTTGTTCGTTAATTGGTTCTAAGTATATCGTGCGACTAGGAGACGTTTCTATCATTCGAATTAGTTCGTTTGAACAACGATGGAAAATTAATTTTTGGTCAAAATTTTAGGATGATACTTCATTTTAAAGGAAATTAAACAACGTTCATTTCGTTCTCTTTTTCAGTTCACTTTTATTCCCCGATTCGATAGGAGAACGAAAGAACCAGGCGGGGAGAGAAATTAATGAAATTCATTTCGATGTTGCAGGTGCTCGTTAATTTCTCGGAGGAGATGGACAACGAGATCGATGGGTCGATTTACACGCAGAACAGGAGCAGCAACAACGTCTCGAATATTTATTCCAGCACCGATACCATACACATGGACACGTTCTGATCGATATTACGCGTGTTAATTCGTGTTCATCGTCGAACTTGAAATTTCCATCGAACAACGAACTTTACACCGGTTTTACAAATCTATCTCTTCGTTGTTGATAAAAAAAAAAGGAAAAAACGATCGTGTGGCGTCTACTGCGATAGCGTTACTTCCGTTTCTTTAGCGCCACGTTGGACGATAACGGCTTGCAATTGTCTTTTTCACTTCAGCAAGCAAGTGCTCGTCGTTCATTTCCGATTATCTGTTGATTTATATATATATATATATACCGGGTGTCCTAGTTGTTTTCGACCAAACTTTGCCGGTACGTTCTATAGGTATAAGCGAGAGAAAAATGTTATACGAACATAGGTCTTCTGTCGCTTCGTTAAAAAGTTACAACAAAAATACGAAATACGAAGGGAACGATAACTCGTAACTTTTTAATAAAGCTTCGAACGACCTATGTTTATATAACATTTTCTTCTTACTTATACCCGTAGAACGTGCTGACAAAGTTTGATCGAAAACAATTAGGACACCCGGTATGTAGAAATCGCGATTACTACGAATTTTTATACAGACTTGACATCGTACGCGTTGATTTTACACACGAAATTAATTCCTCGAGTTGCAACGACTCACGCGTTAGTATTCCTCCTTAGATCGTTAACTAGATCGTCGCGAGATCGTCTAACGATTTAGCAATGTAGCTTTAATTCTTCTCTTTTAGAACACAGTCGTTTCGTTTCTTTTCCTCTTCATCTGTTCTCCTCCTTTTTTTCTCTCGTCGTTCCGAACCACACAGGCACGTCAGATAAGAGCTTATTTCATCCGCGATAAATGCCGGATCGCGTTGCATAAAGCGAAGAAATCGGGTCAACTTGTATAAAAATTTTCCACGAGGCTCGCGATCCGTGACGAAACTTCGCCGGAGGAACGCTGCTCTACTCCTGTGTCAACGTCGATCGATATCTTGTAGATACCTATTGTGTAATACTTTATAAGATTTTACGAAGAATGTACGAGTTTTTGATTCCTTTATTAAAAAAGAAAAAAAAGAACCAGCAATGAAAAGACATTCTCAAATGATTTACCCGGTAGCGATTCCAATTTGTACATACACCTACGTAGAAATTTCCCGCGCACACGCAGAAATAAGTTAAACAACGAAACGATCGCATCGGAAGATTGTAGTTTATTTTTATTACGTTCAGGCACCGGCAGATTTTCCGTCCCGATTTTTCAGATACCGTAAAAAAATCCCGCGGAAATCGATAACGCGCCCAGGTGAGGCCGCCGCGTGTCTGTGCCTCTGTCGTAACAGTTTTTGCGTAGCGCGTTGCTGCTGTTTATCGATTATGCCAGTAAAATCCGGTACGCGCGAGAATGTACGCACAATACTGTTACGCACGCGAGTACACAGCGGTTCGAATACGACGCGAAACAAAATTCCCCGGCAGAGATAGGCCGCGATTACGCATCCTTATCGCGCGGCTATCAGCCGTGTAATTCATCCAGTCGTTTGATAGCGTCATCGACAGCGCGGGGTTGCGGCTGTAAAATCGCGTGTAACACGATGTGTGTGCGTGCGTGTGTGCTCGCAGCAATTACAGAGATAAAGAAAAAAAAAGAAGAGAAGAATACATCTTGACAAACGCGAATGTCGTGTTTCACATTCGGGCGAAACTCGCGTCGACGTTTTCGGCCATCTTTTGCGTCTGTTAAATTACATTCTCGCGCGGAACAGCGAAGCGTTTACTGTCTACACGTCACTTCGTGGACTAGTTGAAACGTTGACATTGGACCGAGGGAGAATCTTTTCGGTCGGAAAAAGAGGACGATTCGGATTCGCGCGATTCAACAGAGTCGACGATATTTTCGGTGCACGAATGTCAAGAGTAGAGAGAACAGCAGCAATCGTGGTGTCGTTTCAGAATTGGAAACCTTGGTGTTTCGGTGTATTTCTCGCGGATGTATGTATGCGTGGGAACGGGAGAATGAACTTATTGTTAGACGCGAGCGCGTTTGAATACTTTATTTTAAAGGCGAGACGGAACGTCTCGTAGCGCTGGCCGATGTTGCCAGGGTCGTTTTCGGTGGTTGACTGCCTTTTCGAGTCCTCGGTTGGGATTTTTGGCTGCCCTCGGAATGGATCTCAAGTGCCTCTCCGCTTTCCGAGATGCAATTTACACAAGAATTTTCAGAAAAAAGTCAGCGACTTTGGGAATTTTTTATCGTTCGAATCAATTGATATGAGTGTAAGGCGTCGTGCGACGCGCCTAGGCAAGGACCGCGGGACCCGAGCCGCAGGGGACCCTAGACAAGGAGCAGCGCAGGCTGCACCCCCACCCCACGGCTTGCAGGGCCCTAACAGCCGAAGAAGCATATAAGAACGGGAAAAAGGGCAGCGGCACACACATTATCGTACCTAGCCATCGACGAGCGAACCAACGTCATTTTAATATCTGTCGTTTTAAGCCCCTTGTAATTCTTCACTCTTACATGAGATAAATTGATAAAAGTATGTCAGAAAATTACTCCGACTCCGCGTAGGGTGGGCGTAAAATTCACTAAAAAGTATCTACGTTTTCCGCAACAATATATTTTACTCAGAATCTACGTCTACGTTAATCGGACGTCGCTTGCAAAAGTGTACATTGAAGGTCTCGGGAAGAGTGTGGACGCGTCGTCCTGCCGATCCCTGTCCACCCCTGCGCGAACAGGCCCAGGGAAAGGCCCAAAGGGGCGGAGTCACCCCCACCGAGCGCGTTGGGCCTGGCTTCGAGGTGCTCGCTTCACCGTATTCGGGACGGATTTTCTCACAAGTAGAATTGAGATAAACTTTAAATCAATTTAATATTGATGGAAAGTGGGAGGTGATTCCAAACTTTTGGCCGGTACTGTATGTACAATGTGGCGCCGTGCGCGCTGCATGGACCGCCACATATGTGTCTATTTAGAGATGGTCATACACTCAGGTGCGATTTTACACTTAACGAGGAAGGAGAAGCGTTCGTCTTTGCTCGAGGAACGTTAATTGACCGTGGATACTTGTGCAATAGGGGTAAATGGAGTGGTATCGAAGGCTAATTAGAATCGAATCGATGACTAGACGTTCGCTTGAACTTCTTTGAGAGCTTTAACCGGATAGTATGTGTAGAACTGCATTTGCTGGCACACCCGGTAAATTGCTCCGCTTCATCTGCGGTATTTGTTTCTCTTTTCGAACGTGCTGAGTTGTACCATATGAAATTGCTGTTTTTGTGGGTAGAAATAGTAGTAATATTTTTTTAAATAATTATCTTCATTTGTATTTATAACTTTTCCACCAATGAGGATATAACTGTTTTACTCCATTTTTATCAGAATTAGCGTCTTTTTAGCGTTGGTGGTTCACAATAGTTACTGGGTTAGGAACAAACGAAGCTTGATACTTTTTTCTAGAAAATTCGCTGCTCCTTTAAATTTTGATACGAAAAGCTATGCATTCCATTTGAAAAATTCAAGGTCACCTGGTTATCTCGTAAAAAAATAGGTTATTTATAAAAATCGTTCTCTTCGATGCAGCGTAATTTTTATGCGAAGCACTTTTTTGTAGAGCACGTAGTTTAGACGTTACTCAGGGTGGACAAATTATGTGACTCACACTGTGTATTTAGCGATGATTCAATTGTACTACGGCCTACTTTAAATTCATATAGGAAAAGTGTTCTAAATTCCTTCGGAGATATCATATTGTTCGCCTACGTGAAACAATTAAACAACCGCGAAGAACAATTGGAGAAACAAAGAAGCGCTGCTCTGAAATAATTTCTATATAGAGGAAGCAAAAATATGAGTATAGTAGAGTTTATTAATCACGGTTGATCGTCAATTATTCCGAAATCGATAATTTCGCGTGACACAACCTCATAAAAGTATACTTTATGTAAAGTTTACTAATCACGATTAATCGACAATTTCATATGATACAACCTCACAAAAATATACTTTACGCAGAGTTTATTAATCACGGTTGATTGTCAATTATTCCGAAATCGACAATTTCACGTACGTGACATAACCTCACAAAAATATATAACACTTTACGTGAAGTTTACTAATTACGATTGATCGACAATTGCATATGATACACCCTCACAAAAATATACTTTACGCAGAGTTTATTAATCACGGTTGATTGTCAATTATTCCGAAATCGACAATTTCACGTGACATAACCTCACAAAAATATATAACACTTTCCGTGAAGGTTACTAATCTCGATAGATCGTCAATTATTCCAAAATCGACAATTTCACGTGACACAACCTCACCAAAATATATAATACTTTACCTAGAGTTTACTAATCACGATAGATCGTCGATTATTCCGAAATCGACAATTCCGTTTCTTCTCCTTTCGATCTTTCCCGTAAACGAGACGAGCGTGAAAGCGACGGCCGGAATCGAACTTCGAAACAATTTGGAATAATTCCCGATTTTGGTGTGAGAATGACCTGTCGGAACTCGGTTCCGTTTCGAACGAGCCCCTTGCAATTTCCTCGATTAAATAAACGACGACGTAGCGGTTACGAGAACGAGGCTGCGACGGTCGTCATGTGCAGACGGAAAAACCGACGAGAGAACGGAAATGATATCGGTCGCGGGGGTGTAGGAAGCTATCCGCTTGGCCAATAGTTTCTCCGTTAAATGTGAAACGATAATTTCATAGAACGAGCCTCGCGCGAATTCTGATCCTCTCGTTATTCTTCCTACGGTTACCCCTCCTCTTCGTCACCCTTTTTTTATTTATAACGACGATTATTCGCGGATTTGTCAGTACGTACGGTACGTACGGCTGGCGTGATATTATTACAAATGGATTCTCACAGCGGATGAAACTGGGATTAACGTTGCCGAGAGAAGATTCTTCTCGTTCGTGGAAACGATATCGGATATATGCTTTTTATACCTTTGTTCCTTTTTTCTTATTTTCTATTCAAGTAGATGGTTAACACCTTTTTATTTGTGGGCGGGAGATCTTGTGATGCGGTGTCGTTTATGAGATGATTTGGGCGGGATATCTCGCGATGATTTGGACGAGATATCTCGCGACGCTTTGGATGAGATATCTCGTGACGCAATGTCGTTTATGCGACGCTTTGGACGAGGTATCTCGCGACATTTTTGACGAAATATCTCTGGGCACTTTGGACGAGATTTCTCGCGACGCTTTAAACAGATATCTCGCGAATCTTTGGACGGAATATCTCGCAACGCTTTGGACGAGATATCTCGCGAATATTTTAACGAAATCTCTCACGACGCTTTTGACGAGATATCAAGCAACGCTTTGGATGAGA